CCCTCCTCCCTGCCAGCCCCTGCGCCGAGCACGCTCTGCCCCTAGTGTCCCCGAGGCCCCAAGCAGGGGGGCCCGGGGAGACGCCTGTTTGCCTTCCCTCCTCCCTGCTCTGTTCACACTCCATTACCCCCACCCCCCAGCACCCCCAGCCTGAGAAAAGGCTCGCCTGTCTTATTTGTTCATTAATTTTGTTTTTCCTTCAGAGGCTTTGTCTGGCTTCGCGGGAACGCCAGTTTTCTGTTGAGTGCTCGCCAAGGGAGTGTCTGTTTGGATACGAGAGAAAGAATGTCGGGGTCACGGCGAGGGACAGCCTGCACAGCCGAGGAGGTGGGACTTCAGTCTGGAGCGAGTGTTTCACGGGGTGCTCTGGGAGGGGGTCTACTACCCAACCCCCACCTGCGTGGACCCAGGGTCCACGCTGACTAAGGGGGGGACCCCAGTGGGGCAGAAGGAGCAGCGTGGCCTCAGCAGCCACCAAGTCAGTGTGGCCCACCTCTGTTTTGTGTCCTCTGAGAGGACTGACTCCAGCTTCAATTGCATCCTAGCCCCTTGCACCCCAAGTCCCTTGTATCCCAAGCCCCTTCCCATGCCCGCCGGGTTCTCTCCCCCACCCGCTGCAGCTACAGCCCCACTCAGTTCTTCACACCCTCTGGGGTGCTCGGGCTCACCCCAAGCACACTCATCCACTGTGCGCCCCGCACGCTGCCCCAGGGTACTAGTCACACGCGATAGAGCTCGTCTCACGGGACATGACGGGATGCCCTCAGCTCGGCCTTCTCGGGTTGCTGAAGCACCGACCACATCACAGTCCAGGGAAGGAGGTGGGGCTGGACGCAGGAATTGGAGAAAGGAGAAAGAGGCAGTTCAGGAAGGCCCGTGTCGGCGAATCTGCACCTCATTTTAAGAAACCTGAACCTGAATCTCGCAGCAGGGCCTGCGCTGTGAGGTGGTTCTTTCCTTTGTATTTTTTCAATGAACTTAAAGTCCCCAGGCCAACAGCGGGTGCTCTGGAGCTGCTATTCTGGCTTATTGTGCTCAGATGAGCAGGCTTGACCACAAGAACCGCCTCTGTGTGAAGATGTCTCACACCATTTCCTCAGAGCACACTCAGGCAAAGGGAGAGCCCAGCCCAGACATACAGGCTGCAGGGCCTCTCGGTGGCGGCTGACCCTGCTGGCCCCTTCCCCACCTCTCCTCACTGACCCCCGGAGCCACTGAGGAAATCAGAGCCCACACCGTGAAACGAGCACAGAAGTCACCCCACGATCAAGTGCAATCCCTTGCCGCAACTGGGAAAGGAAAACAGAGCAAGACAGAACACCCTGAGGAAGCTGCCCCAATCAAGGACACAGTGGACCTCCCCTCGTGCACCCCAAAGGTGAGCGCTGACGCTGCAGCGTTCCTGCCTCATGCCCCTGGGCGGGAAGCGCGACAGGGTGTGTGACAGGCCTCACAGGTACTGCAGGATGGAAAATAAGGAAGAACATTCAATATCCGAATGCTGGGAAATTTTTAATCCAAGCTGGGAGGAGACCAGGCAGATGAGCACAGTCCCTGCGTGGGGAGTGTCACACTCGTGGAGCCCCGGAAAGGCAACATCGTTATGCTCTTGGACACTGCTGACTCCCTAGTAAAAATGTGATTCCAGACAGGTTGGCTCCGTCGCACCTGCCTCTGGAAAGAGGCCAGATTGTTCTGTTGTAAACCTCCGAGCAGGACAATGACACTGTTATGGAGCAGCCGGTTTATGGCTGTTTGTCTTGTACCCAGATTTCTGTAGAGGTGAGTGCTGGGAGGGGAGGCTGAGGACAGGTGTGCACCATTCAGAGGAGAGACACAGGGTCTCTTTGTTTATAGAAAATCACTCACCTGGATTCTGGCCTGAAGGAATCTGATCTTGTTTGTTCTTAAAAACAGCCCTGGCTGTGGGACGGAGTTGTGGGGTCAGACTCTCATCTTTCCTGCTGTCTCTGTTGCTGCCAACAGCATCCATTTTCTCTGTAAAGGGAGATTCTTTTCCTGATGACCAGTTAATGCCCCAGGAAGAGCAGTGTTTGGGGAAAGCATGATTGGGGGAGAGCCTGGAGACCACACTCCAAGAGAACATTGGCTCACACGGTCCCAAACACATCAGCAGCAACTCTGCTAGACAGGCAACCCAGCAGACTCCCAGCCTGGGGCCAGGGTGGCTGCTAAGCAAGGCTGGAATACTGCTGGCCTAGGATTTGCTTATTGTTGGGAGGCTGCTGCCCTAAAGGGAGCTGGAATTTTGGGAGAATACCTGTTTACTCTGCATATGGAGTTCCAGGATGTTAGAATTTCTGCAAACAGAACTTCTTCCCAGAATTGACTCCTGTTCTCTGAGGATGTACTGGCTTCTGCGCATGTTCCCTTCTAACCAGGAAAACTTGTTTTCAGCAGTAACTTATTCATCCGTATAAGAAAAACACAATTGTGTGCTATTTTCTTGTTCCTTTGTTCATATCTGTAATGAAAGCTTGGACTGGGAGAGTGAAAGGTAGAGCTGCTCTTGATGGCTCTCCCCAGGCTCCCCCTGCTGTAAATTCATTTAGACTCCAAGTCTTCGTTAAAGGCAGAGAACTTCATCGGCTGTCCTATCTGCAGCAGCTTATGACTAGTCTCTCCCTCCAGAAGAATGAGGGAGACACGTGATGGCAAAAGTGCTTGGGAAAGGCTGTGACTCCAGAGATTGATCATCTACACAAACATATATTACTTAATATGCACTGAATATTACTTTTGACCCATTAAAGGTCTCACACCTGCCCCCACAGATATTCAGGGATGAGATCCTTTGTTAGCGCAGTGTATGGGAAGTGGGTAGGAAGGGGGAGGCACCTTGTAGAGAGGGTAAAGATTAAAGGTGTTTTGTGACGTTGATACCAGACCCAGAAAAAGCAGCACAAAAATAAGCCACAGATCACTTTCACTTAGGAATGTTGATACAAACATTTAAAATAAAACTAGCAACTAGAATCTGGCTGCATATTCAAAGGATTGTAAATAAATCATGACTCAATGGAATTGTTCCAGGAATGCAAAGATGGTTCAATATAAGCAATATATTAGCATAATTCACTAGCAAAGAGGAAGGAAAATTTTCAAAATTCATATTCAAAAAAGATGAATTTTAAAAGACACTTGATAAAGTTTTACACACATTTATCTTAACTCTTCAGCAGTGGACAGACAGATAAAACCTTAATATTGCTATAAATATAGACACCCCTACACCAAACCAGAAGCCACCATTGTGCTTAGTAGAGAAGCACTAAAAACACCTAGAACACTATCAATGTAAGGAGCAAAAGAATGCATGTGTGGCACTGTTATCTAATCCTTTGGAAATGTAATCATGGAAGAAAATAGGAAAAAGAAAGAAGTGACATTTGAAAAATGAAAAAGTCAAAAATAATAGTATGTGCAACATAGAACACTCTTAAATATAAACTGAAAACCTATTAAAAACGATATGAGAATTCATTAGGCATACAAGCCAAAAGCCTAATACATATCAGTCAATTTTATAAGTATAATAATAAAAGATCTCACAATAACAACAGAAAATAATACCAATAAGTAAATTTTAAAAGAAATACACACACACAGAGAAAAAACCTCTTAAACTCTATTAAGAGACATAAAAGAAGACTTCAGTGAATGAGACTTGTGTCTTATTTTTGTAGAGCAAGACTCAAAAATCTAAACATAAAAGTGTTTTCTAGATTAATCTACACATATGAGGTAATTTTTAAAAATGTTTAAACAACAACAATTTTTTTTTCATAACTTGACAAACTAATTTTAAAGTCAAAATAAAGTAAAGCATATGAGAACATTCAACAAAGTTCTGGAATATAGAAGATTAGGGGTGAGGGCGGGGCTGACCTTGCCAGACAATTATGTTACTAAATAGAGCAGTTTGCTGTGGAGTAGGAATGGACAGTCACATATAAATCTAGATGTGAAGGACCAATAATGTCTTTGTGAGTCATCTGCCCTGAAAAGTTGTCAGGGACTCCTGAGGTCTCCATTGAAAGTGCAGGAACTGACATGGGTTTCATCTTGCTAGTGAGGGGCCACATTCAGGTCTGGGGATTTTCACACCTTCCAATTCTCTAGTTGCCTGATCAGCCCCTAGCAGGCAGAAGGTAGACCTGGCTCCGGGTATGGCCCCCAGAGGAGTGCATTTCTAAGTAAGTGACTTGGGGACACATACCTCAGTCCTTCCCTGGTGACACCTGCTTTGACAGAAAACTGGCTTTGCTGTTGATCCCTGGGTTGAAAAATCTGAAGGAAAAGAAATTAAGAAGGTATTTTGGTGGTAGGAAGGGGAGTGAGGACTCCTATTCTTCAACCACAGATCATTTCTGTTTAAAAATTAAATCACCCACAAAAGGAAAAGCACTCTATTGACGCTGAGCCGCCTGGGACTGATTGTCTTTTTATGAGTAAGTAGTTTACAATCATCATATATTGTTATAAAATGCACATTTATTAAGCTAAATACAGCCACGCCATGAGTCCTCAACTCTTATCTCCATAAGCTAATACCAAACACCTCCTGCCATTAGCTTCTCAACTAAAATTCCGATAGACTTTCCTATTAAAAAAAAATCAGGTCACACATGAAAGGAAAAAACAGCACATTTATTCTGGACTGGAACTGATCAAACGAAAAATGACACTATCTGTAGAGCATCGTTCTTCCCTGGAACGTTGGTTTCTTCCAGTGCATTTTGCTGTTGAAAAAAGAGAAAGAAGAGCAGGGTTAGACCCCTGGGTGTGCGTTTCAGTCTTGTTCTGGAGACACAGGGTATCCCAGCCCTGGTCAAGAAGAATCTAAGACAGTCCAGACACCAGCGAACGTTTGAACAAATTGATCAAGTCTTGAGAGGCTGACTCTTCGCAGCACACAGGTGTTGACAGAGACCCCTGAGAAGGCCACACTGGCGGATGCTACCACATAACAGTGTGGCTCACACTGCCGTGGTCTGGGTGCACTCGTGTGGCCCCTGGCCATACTGTTCCAGCTGCAAAGACCAAGAAAGCACACGACTCTCAGACGGTCTCCTTTCACCAAGAGACTCCGGACCTGATTTGCCCTCGTTCCTGTTTTAGAGCAGCAGATACAGTTGCCAGAGCTCTTTGCTTAAACATCACCTTTCACCACCACTCCTACCGATGAAAGGATTTTCCAGCTCCCTGAAAGAATCTGGGCGCAGCATTGGCTAGCTCATACAAATACTTGCCTGCTGTTTAATTCCAGACACTTAGCAGGCTCTGAGGAGCCCATGTGGCCCGAGCCAAGGCCTCTCCCAGGAGGGTGCCCTGCCGCGGGCTCCCGCCCCACGCTCCCGACCGCAACCTCATCTTCTGTCCCTTGAAACAGCCATCCTGACTTTCTCGGTATCCTGTCCTAGACCAAGGTGTAGTTCGTGATATTTAATAGATGTGGGGACCAGCTCAGGGCAGAGCCCCCAAAGGGAGAGACATGAGCTGAGGGCTGAGGACCAAAGGGGTCAGCCAGGTGGGTCAGCCAGGAAGGTGAGCCAGGCGGGTCCAATAGGGTCGCAGCAGGAGGTGCTTGAGCACAGCAGGTGCTGAGGGGCAGTGGGCTGGGGGTGACCGGATATGAGGTCAGCCCCTGAAGACTGTGAGGCACATACGGGGGCCAGGACTAGATCCTGGAGGCATGTTGCACTATACAAACCGTGAAGCCTGTGGAGGCTCAAGTTTTATTATTAACGTGTGTGTGTGTATGTGTGTGTGTGTGTGTGTGTGTGTGTGTGTGTGTGTAAAACTGAAACACACTGAACCCCTGGCAAGAATTGCACCTGAAGATTCCTTTCAAGTGTGCCCTCAGGCTGTCGCTCTAGGACTTGGGATATTTCAAAATACAAAGCGCCCATGGCTTGTCCCTAGCAGCTGGGGCTGACGCACCCACGAGACTCAAGGATGCTCAGTGCTGATCTGATCAAGCCGGGCTCCGTCTCCCTCAGCCCCGGGGGCCCATCAACTGTTCTTCGCTTGGCCCAGGGTCTGTCTTTTGCACGTCTCAGCTTTGCTCCCCAAGTAGGTGAGATTTCAGGGATTGGATCAGAATCTCCTCTGTGACTGCAGACCAGGCCGAGAGCAGCGTGCAGAGCAGGCAGGGGTCACCACGGAGGCAAGTGGTGAGATGGTGGGGCCAGGCCGGAGATGTGGGGCACCCTCACAAGACGGGCCCGGTGGGTGTTGGAGAAGATGACGGTGAGGGAGAGCCATGATGCTCTGAACCCGGAGCTTGAGCAAATAAGGTGAAGAAAGGGAGAGGGGGAGCTGGGGAAGAGGCAGGGTGAGTTCGGGAGCTCAGGGGTACCCCTAACAGCCATGCCCAGCGGGCAGTTGACATGAGGACCGGGTTCTGCCAGCGCATGGGAATTCTTGGGAGTAACTGCACGTGGGTGACAAAGTCAAGCAGCAGCAGAGACGACCAAGGAATCCAGAAAACGAAGAAGACGACGCTGAAGGGGGAATGCAAACGGCTCGCGTGTTTATTGGTCAGGAAAAGGAGCAGATCAGATTTCATGGACTTGAATCCAGTTTGCAGAAAGCAGAAAAGTGAATGGGTGTCGGGGAGGGGGGCAGCAGCCCTGCAGGACCACAGCGGAGGGGAGGAGATGGGCGCAGGGATGGGGGACTGGTGGAAGCAGAGGCTCTTGGGTGTGGTTGTTGTCTGTTTGGCTGCTCTGAAAGCAGAGAGACCCGATCCTGTCCATGGCAGTAAATGCAAAGCTGCAGGAAAGCCGGCAGGGGCACGAGAGGCCAGGCTGGTGGAGGCTGAGGGTGGGCAGAGCGGGAGGGGAGGCCTTGAGGCTGAATCTGCAGTTTCTGGACATGCTTTTTTAACTGCGCCTTACCTCAGGCTGTTACTCATAATCCCCGTTTATTCTCACTCGGGGCCACTGGTTCCGGAAACTTCTATTTCCAGGGGCAGAGATCCTTCTTGTGATCTCTAAAGATAGAAAGAGAATGTACAGGCGCTCCGTCAGCTCAAGATCTAAGACAGCGCAGACGAGGGATGCAGATTATGACGAGCAGAACCAGGGGGGTCCCCGAGACCACAGCCTCCTCCCCGCCTCGGGCTCTCCTCCGCGTCACAGCTGAACCTGCACTGGGGCCCCAGGGCAGGGGCTGCCCACAAATCCTTCCTCCCCCACCCCAGGATCAGCCTGGTGCCTGCCAGACACATTTGCTGATTTGCACCAAATTGTCCAAAGCGGCCTCAGAGATGGGGCACATCGTGATGTCCCCAGGGCCAAAGTGGTGTCGGACTTCAGCTCTGGCAGGACCGTCTGAGGCAGGTAAAAGTCACCAGTCACAGTAATTTATAGCCACGTGTTTTCAGTCCCTAAGGCATTTCCCCAGTGAGGCAGGCAGCTTCCAAGACGGCCCCCCAGTCCTCACACCTTGGGCATCCCCCTTCCACGCGGGCCGGGGGTGTGTGGTGATGAGTGAAGCAGCAGGCCCCATCGCGCACACTTCTGAGGTCAGGCATGAGAGGCGGTGTCTTCCGTCTTGGGTGTCTGTGACGTGCACAGTCTCTCCCTCCGTCCCCCTCGTCACTTCCTCTGGGGAAGACAGCTGTCTCATTTTGAGGCCTCCAAGCAGCCCAATGAAAGGCAGATGGTGTGGGACTGATGCCTTGGTCCAACAGGGAGGAGGGGGTCCGCCAACCACCCCAGTGGCCTCGGAAGGGATCCTGGGGCCTCACTTGGCACCTCGTCTACAGCCTGGCAGGTGCCGAGACCCCGCACCTGACCCTGGAGAAGTGGCTTCTGCGTTCCTGATCCCACAGACTAACAGAGTAAGTGTGTGTCCTGCTGCCGAGTGTGAGAGTCTGAGCACACGGTGACAGCAGAAATGCACCCAAGCCGGCTGTCAATCCCATCGCTCTCGTCTCTCTCCAGATGGCTTCTGGCTATTTCCAAAATTGAATCCAAAGACAAATATTTTCTACCACAACAGAGATTTGAAAGAATGGGCCAGATTCTGAAAGCCATTCCAAAGGAAATGTCGAAAACATGTTTTCGGTGGTGGTTATGCCGTTGGGATGACTGTCTCTCTCTCAGAGTGACAACTTGCGGGAGGCGTGTGCTTGGTGTCTTAAGTCATGCTTCAGACTGTGAGTCTTAGCGCTTCAGAATTCACCAGAATATGCCTGCTGGGATCAGACACAGATCCATAAAATAGCACTGTGCGTTACTCCTCTGATGGGAGGACTTGGGACATTGGGTGGATTTCACAGCTCTTCCAGAGTGCGAGGCTTTAGGTCTGACGATCCATGTCAAACTCGAGTCTGTGCCGCCCCCAGCCCCATGTCCTTCCAGGTCCGAGGGCTGTGCTGTTGCACACACACTAGGCCTCGGGTGCTCATCCACAAACTGGGAAGGACCCGGAGCTGCCTCGCAGGTAGCTGCCAGGCTGAAGGGAAATGGTGCTGGGGGCCTGCCGAGTCTGGGTCTGCGTCTGCAGAGCCCTGGGCGTCACAGTCCATCTCCACCGCGTAAGCAGGCGCTGCACCTGGTTTCCAGGGCCTCGTGGAGACGGGTGAGAAAACTCATCCGTGGCGAGGAGGGACTAAGGACTGTTCCTCTCGTCCACTTACAGCAAAGCCCACGAGGGCAGGGGGCAAAGCAGAGATGGAGAGTCTGGGTTTCCCTACAAATGCCCACTGTGCGCAGAGAGCAGGCAGGGCTGACGTCCCGGCCAGCTCCCCTAGCTCCACTCCGGGAACTTTAGTGAGCTCTGGCCTCCTGGTTATCTAAGAGTTTGCAAGGCAAGTCTGATCCAGGGCTGCTCTTTCCATCTCCACTTAAAAGCTTTGTGTTATTTCAGGATGTCTCCCTGGAATGCCTTCTGCAGAGTCTAGATTGGTCAGAAAAGGTCTCTGAGGAAGAAAGAAGGGCCCACCTACCCTGGGACCGTTCATAAAATCGTTCACTCTGGACTGGTCAGGAAGCAGACCTGAAACACAGTGATAAAGCACAACCCCCTCTTCCCACTTCCAGAACGTTCTATGGTTTTATTATTGATGCCACAGCCATGTCTCTTGTGGAGGAAGCAACGGGAGGCGGCCTGAGTCTGGCTACCAGCAGCACCGGTGGGGAAAACCCATGCACGGGCAGAATGGTCAGTGGACTGTAGAGCACACCAACCCGACCCCACATCAAACGGACAGTCTTACAGGAAGGCAACAAGGGGGTGTCCTCCGTCCCCCCAAGCAAGGCTCTTCAAGAGCTGGTCAGCTCTGGTCCCAGAGCTGGAGGGTGACAGACTAGCGCCAGCCAGTCAGGTGAGGGTTAGCCCAGACCAGACCAGCTACAGATTACTGCAGAGACAGCCGATACCTTAGGCCACGCACCCAGGAGGGAACACACGTGTGCAAGTTTAGTTAGGGGATCCCCTTAACCAGCACCTGCCTGCCTGACACAGACGCCGGGGTCACCAGGGAGAATCAGATACAGGAAAGCGCTCTACAATTATGATGGGACACCTGAATGCAGAGTTGTCTCAGCATTGCCTGGCGTGAAGAAAGGAGCAAGAGCCAAGGGAAATGTTTATTTTCTGTAATTTCCATAATCATGCAATATTTCTTTTTAGATGACTCACTGAGGGAGAGCTTCGAAATGAACATTGTTGCAAGAAAGTGACATTTAAAAGAACAGATCTCAACTTACCAAACTGATAATTGTTTCTCCATTTAGAGGATCCCAATAAGCGCCCGAAAATCCCCTGGGTAGATTAGGCACCAGCACAAGACAGAGGAAGGAAAGCTACCGTGGAAATGCAGACAGGACAGGCAGGCTTGGGGGCACCGCAGACCCCGCTCGCGATGGACAAGGTGACGTACTCCATGCAACAGCTTTGTCGGGTAGGAGCACACGCGTAAGAAGGCACGTAAGAGTAGCCAACTCAGTGTTTACATTTTCTATAGAGCTTTCCGGCCAACTCAGAAGTACTTCCAAACATTGGGGACCAGAAACAGGAAACGTGGCGATACGAATCTGCAAGGACACCGCTTTGCAGCCACATTGTGGTGTTTCTTTTCTACGAGGCCCTCCCGCCCTGTTCAGCTAGGAGGAGGCATGAGCCAGAAGGAAAGTGAGGTGGCGACGTAAAGGAAATGCAAGCCAGGAGGGTAAGAGTGGCCCCAAGTCCTGTCTGACCAGGTGGACCAGACCATGAGCAGGCGAGTCCTTCCCAGCAGTGTGGCCGCCCCACTGGCCACGAGGCACGGTGACAGATCAAAGTGTCAGGTCCTGACCCACGAGGACCTCACAGCGTCCTGGAGGAACGAGGCCCAGAACCAGCTCCAGGTATGCTCTGCTCTCCTCTGCCTCACCCAGGGACCTGCCCCTGAAACATCCGCTTCAAGGAGCCAGGCTAATTATCCTTCCCGCACCGTCTCCCTCAGGTGAGTGTCTCCTGAAACCTCACCTGGTTCCACTTCACCCGGTGCTCTCTGGTGAATTATTTCCCAAAGGGCAAAGGACACACTCTTTTGGGGTGGCGCCTAACAAAAGTCCACACAAAAACCTATGTCCACACAAAAGCTCGCTCATCAATGCTCAAAGCTTCATTGATTTCAATAGTAGGGAGGAGGGTTGGGGTGGAATATTACTCAATCATGAAAAGGACAGAAGTGCTGACGTGTGTGCTACAGCAGACAGGGGCCTTCAAAACCTCACGCGCAGGAAGGGAAACCACAACACTCCTGCCACACGACTCCATTTCTCGGGAAGCAGAGCAGGCAAGTCCATGAACACAGGAAGGGCACGAGCGGCTGCTGGAGCGGGGGTGGGAGCAGGGAAGCACCAGAGGGTGAATGCTGACGGCCGTGAGGCTCCTGTGCTGCGGGAGGGGGCCTGGACTTGGAGAGCGGGGCCGGCAGGGCAACCATTGGGTCCCCGAGAACCACCCAGCTGTGCACATGAAAGGGGCCGATGGCCCTTCACGTGGATAACGTCTCAAGAAAGGGGTCGCGTCAAGAAGGTGGCCTGACGTGAGCTGGGCTAATGGCACCAGCGTCACAAGGGGTCTTGAGCCGGAGCGAGAGGGAAATGCCCGTTTCCTCCTCAGTTCCCAGGCGATGGGTCTGGAGCAGCTTTTGGGGTGAGGAGAAAGCTCAGCTGTGACAAGGGAGGGAGGGAGAGGGGAGGCTGGAGAAGGAACGGGCATGGGGGGGAGGGAGGGAAAGTGGGGGGACTTGGGGAAGGCGGGGAAGAACAGAAGGAGAAGGGGGGAGAGAGGGCCGGGAGGGGCGGGGAGGGGAAGAGCGTGTACAGGGGCCAGAGGAGGCCTGGGAGGAGGCGCGGGAGGAACAGGGACACATGCACGTGGCCCAGGTAGTGTCGGGGTCCCTAAACCCCCTAAACAGAGCTGTGGGCGGCCAAGCCCACCCTTCCCTCTCTGGGAGCCAGGTCCGGGGAACCACGCCACCCTGGCTCACGCGCTTCTGGCTGAGTCTCTCTCCTGACACGGAGGACGCGCCACACCGCGAGCGCCTGCGTCCTGGCTGCAGCTCAGACCCGTCCGGTCGTCCCCTCTTTGGACTCTCTGGGTCTCCTCGCTGGACCCTGCCACGTCTCCTCCCCGCCCCTTCGGACAGCTGAGTCCAGCATCAGCCCGTTCTTTCTCTTTGAAAGAGAAAAAATAACAATGGAAACTACCAGAATCCAAACATCTCTGCGGCTGGGGAGACGAGAATATCAGCACATGCAGGGTGCGGTCTCTCAAATTTCTTTACAGCTTTTTTACCTTTGAAAACTCCGGACTTCTAGATAGGACAGTGTCTCCCATGATGGCCTTCCCAGGCCTTTTCCATTGGTTCCAAGCCCGGTTCAGTCATAATTTGGATTTTTGGCCTCATTCTCCAAGGCACCCGTATTCCTTCCCGCTCCTTCCTTTCTCTGGGAATTCCGCGTTCTGCAGATGGTTTTCAAGTGATCTTTATTTTCATTACTCTGAGATTTTTTTTCAGTTTTATTTCTCCTATTTCCTACTTCCAGCCATGATTTATTTGTTCTAAGCCTAAATTCATCCCGGTCTATTCTCTTTCATGCTTGTAATATCACCATTTATTTCACTGAAAATGGTTAGCAGCTGTTTTCTAGTTTTTCTCTGTCCTATGTAGGAAGCGAACTTCAGAGTTTCCAGGAATTACCTTAAATTTCCATCTGTTTTCTTCTCTCTCGTTTGAAGTGCAGAATTTTTTAATTAAAAAAAAATTTAATTCAGCCGTAATTCTTTACGACACCCTCATCTGTGAGAAAAGCAACCTGGGAGCCTATTTTAACATCCTGCTCGTGTCTGGGGCTAATTTAACTTCATGTCAGAGTCTTCTTGCAAAACTCGGGATTGGAGGAAAAGCGGGCGGTCTTCACCCCGCAGTGAGAAAGCTGGGGCAGACCCAGGGGTGTGCAAACGCTTGAATCAGCTCCCCAGGCAGACGTGGAAGGGGCTGCGTTAGGGGGCCATTCCTGACGTGAGCCTCCCCTGTGGGGAAGTGACAGGATGGAGCAGAACCCATCACCCCAGCAGAGTCCTCTCCTCCTGTCCTGCCAGCCCCCCACTTACAGCCGGTCCAGTCTGTTCCTCGTCTGATCCTGTGGCCTCCCTATCATGACCCTCCAATAGCCCCTCTCGGATCGGCCGGGAACCCTGGCATGAGGCGAGGTCCATCTCGTCTTGTGGCCGCCCCTCCCCAGCTGCACCCCACAACTCTCCTGCCCCCCACATCCTGCTTATCTCAGCCATAATGAGCTTCTTTCCATTTCAACCCACCAGCTTGCTCCACGCGTGAGGGAACTGCATCGTGCGCCGCGCTGTGCCTAGGGCCCCTCCCTCCCCAGCGGGGACCCTTACGCGCACCCACCCTCCAGCTCTGGGGTCCGGCGTCCGTTCCTGGGGAAGCTCACGCTATGCCACACAACAACCCCTGACCCCTGCTTCATGGACACCTCCAGGGCTGGTCGGGGCTTGCTCCTGAGTGTCTCCTGGTTTTTCCCATATAAATCACAAAATCAGTAAGACAAAATCTTTATGGCCCGGCCCTCACCATTTCTGGGTTGGCTTGGCAGGGCGTGCCAGGGGGTTCGCCGTGGGACGCATCAGGCCTCTGGGGGAGTCTAGGACAGGCAGCGCTTATACCTGCCCGGGCACCAGAACTAGGAGCCTCAACTGTGGCTCCGGTCCTAGCCAGAAACCCACTGGGAGGGGCCTCCACGCTGGTCAGGTCAGAGAGGTCAAGCCAAGGTTCTGACAGCCCAGACAGTCTCCTGGCGCCAGTCACAACCCCATTACAGAGGCTCCTGCGTTATGCATTTCATTATCTCTTGGCCCTAAAATGGACGTCCACGCACAGTATTTAAGGCGTGGAGATGCCAATAGCAAGACAACATTAGCTTCCATAGGTAATTCTTGAGGTTGAAATTTTGGAATATAATTTTCACTACAGAATTAAATGTTGAAAAGTTAATTAAATAAGAGTAGACAAAGATGCTCTTGGGTGGATTCAGCTTTTTTACTTTTAAATGACATTTTGAAAATACCTCTCAAGCAGGTGCCCCATTATGAATAAGGAAACTGACAGGTGGCCGGGAGGCCGGGGAGGCCACGCTTAGCGCGGGGCCCTGCACGCCCAGCACGAGCTGCCGGGCACACCAGGACCACTGCCCTGTTTTCTTTCAACTAAAGCTCTTGCTTGGAGCTGAGAGTCCTGCCCAGGATGCCCGGATGAGGCCGGACACTGACGCCAGAGATGACCCAGGTCAAGGTGGCCGAGGCTGACGACAAGGTCTGAGACTGAACGTGCCGGACACCAGGAGCACCAGCTGTGCGGGCTGTCTGCTCACGGCCGTCTCTGACCAACCGACTCTAACAGGCCAGCCTCGGCCAGGAGGGCGGAGCCGTCTCTGTCCTCTCTGCTCAACGACCACGAGAGAACGGTCTCCTCAGGGGCTGTGCCACTGCTCTCCCAGGTCCACGGCCAGCAAGCTAGAAAATAAAAGCGGTTCTAGGTTCCACTCCTGTCCCTGCTCCTGGCTTTCAGTAGCGACGGGGGCAGCAGGACGCAGGCCCGTCCCCAGCAGCAGCATCAGCCACCAGGCACGTTTCTATTCCCAGTTAGTGTCCAGGGGCTGCCTGTTCCTGTCACACGCGTCACTGTTTCTCCCTCGGCGCATTCCACTGTGTACTGAGCAGTGACTGGTCTCGAACACAGCCTTGGGCTGACGGGACAAGACTCCCCTGCCCTCTCGAGACACACTTTCCAGCAAGAAAGCAGTCACTAAGCAGACAAACCCCCAGGCAGAAATGTGCGGATTACTAACTTCCATGCTGTCAACTGCCTCGATTCTCTCAACAACCCATCAGCTCGTCTTTATCCCCGCGTCGCAGGGAGGAAGAAGCTGCGAGCATGAAGGGGGAGTTCTCTGACCTAGACGACAGAGTCGGAAACAGTTTTGAGGACTGGCCCAACCCAAAGGCCCCTCTTCATTCCGTTTAGCCACGGTGTTGGGGAGCCACGGGCCTACACCTGCACCTGCAGGGGGCAGGGGGTGCTGCTTGCTGATGTCAGCTCTTGGCCAGGAGGGTCTCCAGGAAACAGATGCCCGGAGCGGGGGTGGGGGGCCGGAAGAGGAAGGGGTGCTGAGAACGAGACTCTAGGGGAAAAGGGAGCATCCAGATGGGCGAGCGGAGCTCTGCTTGAGCACACCTGGGTGCAGTGCCCGCTGCTCTGACACTCCATCTGCTGGTCACAGAGCCCCACAGACGCTGGAGCTCTGTCTCCGAGATCCCCAGCCCCTGGCCATACCTCTTCGCTGCTGCTTGACTCGGAACTGGAGGCCCAGCTGCAGCGAACCCAGACGCCCTGCACCCGCTCGGCAGACATGTGCACGGAGCTCCTGCACCGGGCTGCTGGCTGAGGAGGCAAAGCAAGAGTTAGGGCGCCACGGCTCATTGGAAGGGTGAAGCCTATTCACAACACCGGGCAATCATGCAGGGCTTGGCAGAGGACGTGGACTGAAAGGACGCAGTCATAAAAGCATTTTGTTTGTCCAAAAGGAACATTTCTCAAGACCTAAGCAGAAACCAATGAAACATTTAAATACCTCTTCGGTGTGTGACAGAAAGCAGACCTTCCCTTCATGAACCCCAAACTGGCAGCCTCCAATCCCCCCAGTCCAAAGAAATGTGACAGACCCCTAAACAACTTTGCTCTTTTCCTTCATTCACAGATTTCCTGAGAAACAGATGTTGGGGGCCTGGGGCGCCTGGGTTGGGGTCCTTTGTAAAGCAGAGTCTCAGAGAAAGATCTCGGGAAATGAGTAACTCAGCAAAGGGCCCACTTCAGAGGTTACATCAGGCGATCCTGACAGAATCAAGCTGATCAAGTAACAAACCCCAAAACCTTGTAGATGGGGAACACAAGCACCTAGGAAACCAAATTTGGGGTCGATGGTGCTGGACTCCCACCCCTAGCTGCTGATCAAAATTTGGACCATGTTCTGGTCACTGGAGATACAAAAGTGAACCCGTCACAGTCCAGACTCCGCAGAGCCCGGGCTGAGGAGTCAGCCATGTTCAACACTGACTGTGGAACTGCGGAGTCGCTTCGTGGAATTGCAAATGTCTCTGGGATTTTTCTCTGGACAGTCACTTTGCTGGGATGATCATTATCCCCTTTCTAAAGATCTCGGAAACTGGGGCACGGGTGATAGATAGTCTACCAGGACCATGCTCACAAGAGCCCGAGTCCTCATCGCTGGGGGCTCCCCCTCTCAGGCATGTAGGGGTACACAGGGGGGCCTCCAGCTGAGGGGCCTCCAGCTGGGGTCCCTACGACCCCCAGCTGTGGTCCTGGGTAAGATGAGACTCTCCGCGAGTTAGTTTCTGGAATCTGCCTGCCTCCACTTACCACGTAGTAGCGCCTTTGGAAGTCACAGGTGGCTGGATCTCCTCCGGAATCTCTCCTGCATGTTGTCTCTCGAATGCTGAACTCTATGTCCATGCTCAAGCTGTCATCATCCAAGACACTGACCTGCACAGAGACAAGGCGTCAAGCAGCCATCGACGTGTTTCTCAAGTTCAGTGTTAGACGTTTCTCCCCGTACCACTAGCAAAAGTCACAGACTCCCCCACCATTCACGCTGCAGGCATCTCAGTGGCCAGCTAGACCCACACTCACTCTGCAGACCAGAGAAGGAAGAACCGTGCCCAGGAACATGGCACATGGGGACACAGGAGGCAGCACTCGACTCCTAACACTGAGTGAGTGTCGTTTCCATGACCCACATTTCCAAGTGATCCGTGTTATTTGCAGATTCTGTTTGCAAATTTTCTTGCTCACTAAGGTTTATTTTCTACCTCGAAATCAAAATGCAAGGTCCGTTCACCACCATCCCAGACATGGGCAGGACGGCCAAAGCTTTGAGACTCCAGATGCATGTGTCCCCACATGAGGTCAAATAAGGGGACCTCTGGCTCCCTGAGCCAGTGCTCACCCCGTGAACAACTGTCATGTTCATGGTCTACTCTGTGTCACTTTTTTTTGGTGCATTTTTGTGCTTTTTTTGGGTGAGTTTGCTATTTAAAATGGCTTCCAAGCATAGTGTTGGGATGCTGTCTAGCATCCTTGAGGGCAATTATGTCACATGTCCTCCAGGCATGAGTTACAGTGTTGCTGGCCATGAGGACGTCAACAAATCAACAATGTAATAAGGTGTCTTTAACCCGAAACAGCTACGTATTGAGGGGTCCACAAAACTACTGGACAGAAAACTACAACTAAAAGAATGCTCCAGAACTTCTCAGTAATTCCCAGGACCCTCTGCTGTAGCGGGTAATCCAGCCCTCTTCTGGCCACCAGCCCTGACCTGTGAGTGAATTCACACAATTTTCTAATCCTTTCCACCAAGGGTGCGATACTGAGAGGAGCTTCCTAATCTCCTGATGACTCTGTGACGTCCTGATGACATGAAGCCCTCCCTCCCCCCAACTTATTGAGTGTCCACAGTGTGCCAGCACCAGAGGCAGAGTGGGGAAGAGTCCACTAAACTTTGGGGTCCAGTGGGGCGCCACAGAGCATACACATTAAAGGAAACCAGATGGTGCAATGCATGACGGAAAACAAGGTGGTGGCAAGGTGGAGGGAGGAAGCAGCTACTTTAAAGTACATGCCAGAGAAATCCCCCCCAGGAAGGGATTGTTCAGCTGAAGGCTGGAAAGGCTGGGGGAGAAGCCATTGGCGTCCTCGGGCAGCACAAGTCTGGCTGTCACTGGAGCAAAATGAGCAGGAGAACATTCACCATGATGCTTCAGAGATGGGGTATGTCACCTAATCTTTGGCCTTGGAGCCCATGGGGAGGTGTTTAGGGGTCATTGCTGTTGCAGCCAGAAGTTCCTCAAGGATTTAAGACAGAAGCTCTGAATCACTGGGGCTGTGTGAAGAGAAAAGACACGCTGGGGCAGGAACAAGATGGCAGCAGGGCAGCCAGATGGGCACCCACCGCCGCCCAGTAGCCAACAACACCCCCAGGCTCCATGGAGCTCTTCCCTCCAGTTCTGGAGCCCCTCCCATGGCAAACTGAGTCAATAGCACATTCTGTCAACGGGGGGGGAACACTCTGAGAGCGAAAACCACGCATAGGCACAGGTACCCCATTTGTCCCAGATGCAAGTGGCAGACGCCAAGCTCAGATCTGGGTCTTCGTGTCTCCCACACGGGATGAGGAGTGCTGACACGGTAGAGTTTTCTGGAAACAACTGGACTAAACATTCAACCACATCATTATTCACTACCTCTTTTATTTATAATTTTTAAACTTTAGATATGAAATCTGAGTCTCATAGAGAAATTAAAGCTCTTCCGTCAGCTCTGCCCTCCTGTCCCTGGGGCAGGAGCTTCAGCCACTTCCCTTAAAGCAGCTTGATGAAACCAAACTGGCAGCACAAAAGCTCAGTTAAAGGATGAAAACGTGGGGGTGTTTTGAGTCCTGATAATTTTTTTTGAGCTATGAGATGAGGTTGCAATCTTTTTCACCCCTCTTAGCACGTTTCTGCGCTTTTTCCAGCATTTGGAGAAAAGCGGTTTTGCTTTTTAATTTGAGCACACTCTCAGCTGGTGATGTCCTCTCTGTGTAGTTTGAAAAAGGCAGGACAAGCGGACACACAACACGAAGAAGTCAAGTGGAGAAATCCAGAAGCCAGCGTTGCGGCTGGAATAAACTTATACTCAGCATTATCGTCCGGGCCTTTATCTCTTTTAAAAAATATATTTTAAGACATGTACTGTGATGCCAATCAACATTACCTCAATGAATGCAACCTCACAAAAAAAGCCTTAAAATACATAAAGAGAATGTTGATAATAACAATATTTTAATAATAAAAAAATATTTTGTGCACGGATATGAAGAGAAAGAGGTCCCAAAAGATCTCCCCCCCACATGTCCATAGCGGGACCTCAGGGGAATGAGCAATGGGCCTTCCTTTCTGGTTTCCCTTTCTTGTATTTCCTGACTTTTTTAATTGAGCATATTGGGTTTTTTAATTTCAAAAAGATATCAAACTGTATTAATAACAAAAGCCCATAACAACTTTTGGCAGTTGGAATGGTTCGTTTAAGTGTCAACTTGGCTGGGCCACAGCATCCTGCTATTGAGTCTAGTGTTATTCCAGATGTTTCTGTGACTAACAGAAACATTGATGAACTCTGAGAAAGCAGGTTGCCCTCCCGTGTGGGGTGGGCCTCACCCAATCAGTTGAAGGCCTGAATACACTAGATAGACCTCCCCCGGATGAAGAAATAATATTTTGGGAGGACTCATACTGCAACTCCTCCCTGGCCCTCCAGCCTAGTGTCCTGCCCGGGAGATTTTGAATTTAGCAAACCTCCACAATAGCATGAACCAGTTCTCCCTCTCCTTCTCTTCATTTCTCTCTCTGTTAGTTTTTTCAAAGTAATCCCCTATTATTGGACAAAAAGTAAATATTTGGTACAGTTGGCTAAGAAAGGCTTAGAAAGCAAAAATGCAAACAACAACAACAAAAAAAGATGAAAGGTAAAAATGGACAGAAAGGGCCACAGGTACATAAAGAAGCCCCAACCTGTGCGTGACATGGCCCCCAAATGTCCTAGACTCCATCCACTCCCTGTACCTCTCAGGAGGCTCAGCTGCCATCTGTCATGTCTGCTTCCTACAGTTGCTCTCTCAGCCCCTCTGCCACACCCCACTTCACAGTGGAGAGATTTCCGACAATGGCAAAGGTCTTCAGGCCCTCCCCACCCCAGAGGCCGCCCATTGTCCTTATAACAGACCCCAAACTCCTCAAAAGCCTGACCCAGCAGTTCCCACCCCTCTGACCTCACCTGCTTCTTGGGTCTAGTCAGACTCTCCCTCAAGGGCTTCCCCCTGGTTTCTCCATGACTGGACCTGGGCACCGAGTGCATCCTGCTCAAATACGGCCACCGCCACCAGACCTTTGCTCCCTCGGTCAGCAGTCCAGCCCAGCCCAGGCTAGTCATCCATCCACCTGCTTGGTTTTCCCCATAGTACACTCCACTCCCAAAAATTGACTCCACTTTATTTATGTGATTGTGCACCCTTTCTTATTGCTTCCCTCCCTCCTCTCCCACTCTCCCCAGAAGACCCTGAGATCTCTGGAATCACAGCTCCATCCATCCTCTTCTTCCCTGGTCCCCAGAACAAGATCTGTGCCCACCTTTCTTTCCTCCAGCTGTGTCCTCTGAGGGAAAGTGTGTGAACCCAATGTCAACGCTGGATGGAGGAAACCATCATTGCTGACGTCACGGCCATCTTCTCCCACCCTCCTTTCATCCTGGAGCTCAGGTCACACTTTTAAATCAGTAGCAAGAGCCTTGACCCACATCCAGTGGCTCTTAACTCTAGTTGCGCAGAACAATGACCAGCAGAACCTATGAGAACATGAGCCCCAACCCCAGATACTGGGGTGTAATCAGAACACCAACCCTCCTGGACATCAGGAATGTTTCAGGCTGCCAGGTGATGCTGATGTGCAACTGGGGTCGCCCCAGGTTTATGAAGCAAACTCAGGATAAAGTAGCTGGGCTTGACCCTCTGCCCCAAGTCTCCTGAACTCTAGCCCCAAACACCCACACATGTATAAACATGACCCAACCTCTTATTTCCTTTGGACATATTCCTGGAAGTGAAATATAAGTCAAGAGTTATAAATATTTGCTATTTTTTAAGTTCAATTTGCTTGCAGATATGCTGTACACATATTTCCAAGTTTCTTTCCAAAGATAATTTTTAACAATCTATACTCTCTGCAGCAGCATCTGAGTCTTCCTTTTCACCTTGTTAGTCTTTCTTTTTGCTTGTTTTAATTCAATTTTTTTTCCTTCGCCTATCAGAGAGCATGAATATTTTTCCAAATGTTTCAGACTCATTTCTACTCCTTCTTTTGAGGATGTTTGTAGCCTCAGTGCCGTGAACTGTTGCTTCATCTCGTTCCCGAGGACTTTGCTGGCCCGAGTGTATCTCTCGCGTCTGCTAGCATGGAAGGAGGCGGAATACTTGGAACCTTCCATAGGGCATTTACAGAAAGCATGACTAACTCGCACAATAGGGCAAAATGTGAACCATCCCTAAGAAGAGAGGAATATAGTGAGAGAGAGCAAAGGAGGAGGGTCTCCCTTCTAGTGGGAGAAGAAATGGCATTGTTTTGGGGGGCATGGTGAATGTGGCTGACCAATGAATCTGAATCAGTCAGAAGAGTGTGGGGAGGAGAAAGAACAGGCAAACTTCCAGAAAGAATAGCAGTTTACAAGGGACATCTGTTATTTACGGACTCATTAAGGATCACACATACTCATACGTGTGCTTATTTGCAGGTGCACATGTCTCTGGACTCAGCTCTACGGTACCAATACAGTGCTCTGCCAGAATGTGCTGGTGGCCATGCCTCATACCAGGCCAGATTTCCATGGTCCCAGTAATTGGTTCTCTCCGGACTTGTCCTCATGTTCTCATTCATTTAATTAGCTGCTAACTTTCTTCTGCAGTGAGCACTAGCTAGATTACAAGTAATTTCAATGGCTCATCTGTCAGCTTGGCAAGAGGACGTGGGCGCCTCCACACTGCAAGGGGATTTCATTAAAGGCAACAGATAGAAACCAAAGCAACCAGTGTGTGCCGGCCCAGTACTGTCCACTATGCTTCCAAAAGGATTCCCCTTTGACCTGACAGCCGGACACGCGTCTCTGGCAGCGCCTCCATCCATGGCGTCCAAGCCACGTGACCCCGCGCTGGCTGAGACACCTTCCGGGTTGGGCACCTAATAAAGCATAGCCCTCACCCTCATGACCTGTGCCAATCGCCACCCTGGAGTCCTGTTCAGGCCTCCATCCAGTTCCCCTGTGACCGGGCACGGAGTCTCATCCCAGGGCTCAGGGCTCTGTGGACCCCCCTTCTGCTGTCTCAACCTGAGCTACCTCGAGAGCCGTTCTGTTCCTCCTCGCTCGGTGGCCCCACCGGGCCGTGCCATTGCCTGGGAATCCTGGAGGAGGGAGGTGACTGCTCTCCAGTTTCGTCCCTGCCCTTGAAGGCCATCTCTGCCTGCCCAGGCTCAGTCCTTGCAAGCCCAAGGGCTTCTTCTTTGCCTATTTCCGAGGCCAAGAGGCCAACAGGAAACACACTAGAACCAAGTCGACAGAGGAAGTGCGAGGCGCGGTGCTGAGTGTGGATCAGCCTCATTTCTAACAGACAAGCAGTTTTTAGTAAAACCTCCCAAGAGGAGCCGGGGGCTCTGGATTCAAGGGCAGGATGCATGGAGAGGACATCTGGAAGCAGGAAACGAGGCCAGAGGGAAGAAGCCGCAGAAGAACGGGGCGTCCCAAGTAGCTGGAAGATGAACACGGTCCTTTCTCTAGCAAAAGCCGTGGAACGAGAAAACTAGCTGTTACCTTCTTCTGCTGGAAAAGGAAAGAGAGTCCCCCCAGCCTGACACAAGGAAGAAAGCGCGGGAAGCAGAGTAAAGAGGAATAAGAAGAACTCACTCTTCTGACGGAGCCTCGGAACGCCCGGAACAGGTACGGACTCAGCGACTGGGAATTCACTTTTGCCACAGAGGCCGCGAGGGCTTCCCTCAGGGAGGACGGCTCGTAGTCGTACACGGGGAAGCCTGGGCGCAGGGCACACGGGGACACAGTGAGACAGGACGGGGCCGGGACAGGCCCCGCTGGCCTGGGTCCCCCGAGCTCCTACCTGCACAAAGTGGGGCGCTCGCCCCAAGAGCAAATAGAATCAGTATCTGCACCACCATCTGCTCCATCCCGGCGAGAATCTCCTCAAATCTGAGCCAGGGAGGTTGTCGCTCTGCGTGTCTGGGGGTGACAGGGCCCCCTGGGAGCGGATCTTGAGCAAATGGGACCTGGTTGCTCTCACCGGTTGAAGCGCCTGGAGCTGAACCAGAAACAATTGCCCCCGAGGTCAGAGTTCACCTCCGCCTTCCCTCGGGAAAGGTTCCAGCTGGAGGCCACTTTTGCAGTTTTGACCTCGGCAGGGGACTTTAGCCCACAAAGACGTCCAGAGGCCCAGGGCCTCTGTGTGTGCTGTTTGGTTTCTGTGATTTCTTTTTTAAAAAAGATTTATTTATTTATGCATACAAGAACTGGGGTACAGGCCAGAGATGCAGAGGGTGAGAGGATTCCCCAGAGAGAGTGGGGAGCAGAACAGGTGGGTCTACTGAAGTCCACTGCTGAGGCGGCAGCGGGTGAGGCAGGAGAGGTCTGCTGCGCCATGTGGGTAGCTCCCTGGCCGGGGATCAATCAAACTCGTGCTGCAGAGGCTGCGGATAGCTTCATAGTGCTCAGGCTTAACCCCTTGCACCACCAGGGAGGCCCTCTGTGTTTTCATTTCATCCACACGCACTGCTGACTTCTTTATATTTTAATCTCTGGGGCAGGGGAGAGTAACCTTATTTTCAACCGAACAGCTCAGTTTAAACGCCCATCTGCCAAATCCCGTCTCCTGCCCCAGAAGCCCTTGCACTTGCTGTTTATGGAAGTTGAGTGGTTATTTCAAGGTCTTTCTGGAAATTAGGGCCGTAACCGAGGTCTTTTAATATGTAGGCCTTCAGTAGGCCAAGAAAGGACACAACCCCCGAGAAGCAGGGCCCTGTCGCCAGCCTTCCCTGCTCCCTGCTACCGGGTGCCGTCCTGGGAGACTAAGGGGCTCGCAGGCCAGTGATTCTCAGGGACACCAGACCCCCCAGAGTCGCGAGTCCTTGTAAAAAATATTTGTATATAAATGTATTTATATGTAAATATAAATTTAAACGTATCTGTATACGTAGATAAATCATCAGACATGGTGGGAGAGAGAGGTTCCTTTCAGCGTGGATGCAGACGCGTGGAGTTGCGAGCCAGTCACTGAGATTATCCTCCCAGGGCCCACGCGGGAAGCCGCCCTGCCGCCGTGACTCAGGAGGACCTGCCTCCGAGGCCACGAAACCCAAGTCACAGCCTCTGTGCTCAGCATCTGTCACAGCCCCCCTCAGGACAGCCAGGATGGGGACGCAGCCTCCGCGCCTCCGGCTGGAGGTTGGGTGAGGGAGACGTGATTTATCCACCTCGTGGAAGACTGTCGAGCCATGAAGAAAGATGAAACGCCACTGACAGCAAAATGAAGGTGCTCGAGGGAATGACATGCAGCAAAGCAGGTCAAAAGGACAAAGCAAGTACTGGACAAACAGCAGACACTCAGCCATGCAAAATGCTTAAGAAACTAGTGGACGCTGACCAGCCAAGTGAGGCCTCTGAAATTAAAGGGGGGGGGAGGGGCCAATGGGGTACAAAGGAGGTTGGTGTGGAAAAAATACACCTGACCGGGAGCCCTGGTCTCACACTGGTCAGCCGCCTGCCCGTGGGCGTGGGCCCCACTCTGAACCACCTCCTAGTATAGACAGTGGGGATAAATAGCTTATATATATCTTTAAAAGCACTTTATATGTGTATATATGTATATAAATAAATTATCGGTCATGGTAGGAGAGAGATTTCTTTAAGGAACTGGCACACCAAGGTGGAGGCTGCAGGGTGGGCGGCACCTGGCAACCTGGAAGGCTGCAGTTCAAGGGCCGGGATACCTGCTGGCTCAGGGAAGCCAGGCCTGTCTAGAAAGGGCTTCAACCGGTCAGATGAGGTCCGCCCACACGATGGAATGTCATCTGCTTTGCTCAGAGTCTCCTGATGGAAACATGAGCAACACAGAAATATGCAGAGTGATGTTGGATCAACTCTCTGCACCAAAGTTAAATTGACACATGACACCAACAACCGCGAGTCAGTCACAAAGCCTCGGACAGCACTTGGCGAATCGCCTCCTCAGTGGACAGCGGTCATCCGTCCCAACTCCACTCCCTGCACATGGCCGCGCCCGCCCCGTGGAAGACAGGATGCTGAGACCATCGCGATGAGCTCTGGAGCAATCCGGCCACCTGCCTGAACGAGGCAGATGTGAGCGCCAGCCGAGGAAACAGCCATCACAGCAGGACCCGGAGGCGCTCAGAGAGGCTTCCCTGACCGGCGGGGAGCGTGGCCGCTTTCTCCCTCCGACTGCGCCTCCCAGGGGTGCGTCTCTGGACGTGGGCCTGGACAGACGCAGGAGCCTCCAGCGGAGAGAAGGAGGAACGAGCAGAAAGGAAACCGTGGCGGGACAGCAGCCTGACCCCAAGGTCCATGGGCGTAGGGGTGTCTGCAGAGGCCGCCAGGCTCCCTGCCGACAAGGAGCGAAGGGAGGGGAGGAAGGGAGAGACAGGCGCTGGTAGATTCCACGCGACAGCTGTGACCGGCGTGAGCCGCAATGATGCAAATCGTGAATTCCTGCAGCACTGGAAGGCAACTCTGTTCATCCAGATATCGCCTCCCTCTGCCGCCCCCTGCACGGAGCTAACAACGGTCAAATCAGCCTCTGACGACTGCACGTGAATATGGACCTCCTCGAGGCAAACGCCTCCCCTGTCGGCACACCAGCTCCAAGGCACGGGAGCAGCAAGCCCGATGGCTCACCCCACGCCACATCTCCGGTTCAGCATCTTCCTTCTTCTCCTCCGACCCCCCCCCCCACTAGGTCCAGCCGCACAGGGGTCCTGACAGCTGCTCGGGGACACCGAGCAGCCTGGGGCCCTCCACCTGCTATTTTTTCCAAAGAGCCAGGACAACCACCTCCCACTTCCCCCAGGCAGCACCCCCCATCACTCAGGCCTCAGGTTAAACAGCACCCCCTTGAGCTTCCCAGGCTGTCCGCAGCCGTGTCGTGTCTTCTGCCCACCCCCCAGGGCCGGCTACCCCACATCAACTCTCTGCTCCCTCCTCCCACTGCTTTGCACCAAGAGTGTGATTTGCACGTTTGAGTTGTCTCTAGCAGGCTCCATGAGGAGGGACCACGTCAGTCTGGTTTACACTCTGCTGAGACACCAGATGGGCACACGCAAGTGCCGGCGGGTCACGCAAGTGGGTGGCGAGTGAGCACACCTGGCTGGAGCCCCTGGGAGTCTCGCTGGCGCCTGTACTCACTGGCGGTGTGTGAAAGGCACACAGAGCAGTGTTACGGGGTGATGATCCCTAAGATTTGTAATGCTGTTACTCTTCACCTGCCTTGCACCCAATTCCATTAGAATCTTTCAGATTTAACTAACGGCGCCATCTGGCTCCCAACTCCCGGGTCTCATTACGATGAACAGTAATAATAAAAGGAATTGCTGAAGAGTAGAGGAGATTAAGGAGACAGCAGTAAAATGATGTTGCCAGCTCAGGGCTATTGATTTTGTGTAGCTTGCTGGGGCGAGCCTAGAATCTTCTATTGCTCAGATTCACCGGCTGCCATGAATACTTGCACCCGGTGCTCGAGCAGGCGCTGAGCAGAGCTCCAAGGCAATGATCTAAAAAATGCCTCTGCAGGTCCCATCACATCTGATAAACCTCGAGGTTCCATCTTGGCCCTACACGGAAATCCAGGCTGCGAGGACTTCAGGATGTGTGCGGCATCCATTCCAGCATCTGCCTGCTGCTTCCACAAGAGTTATTAGTGAAGGGGTTCAAAAACACGGTGCTCAGTGGACAGCGCCTATGGCTTTGCTTATCCAGCCCCTGGAAATGTGTATAAAATTCAGCATTGGGAGCAGGAGTTGTTGGGAGGAGGTCGAGTAAAGGCGGATGGCCGTTGTTGTCACAGAACACGGGGCTCATTGATGTCGTCTGCTTTGTTGCTCTTGAGATCATTTCATTTCGGTTATCTCTATGGTAATACTGTTTGTGTGAAGTCACTAAATTTAGAGAAATGCAAACCAATTCTTCATCTGATCCGTAAACCTCTTATTGCATGACTATTTCCCAGTTTCACCAGCGCGTGTCTGCTGCCAACTCCTGGACAGGAGCAGCACACTCGCCCGGACGCAGACTTTCCATGTCTGGAAATGTCAGTATTTCATGAATGGTGTTTTTAACAGGGCAAGAAAAACAGTGAAGATCAGAGGTTCTCAAAGTGTGGTCCCCACCCCGACCTACCACATCAGGAAGTCCCCAGGGGTCCAGGACCAGCCTTCGGAGACCTTCAGGGGCCCCACGTACGGGCAACATGCAAGCCAGGGAGTAGAGTAACGCGCTCAGCCTGGTGGCCTCGCCCCTGAGGACACTGTCTCTGCCATCAAACCGGCAGTGTCCAGGAACATTTTTGATTGTCAAAGACTAGCAGAGAGTGCTACTGGGCACCCATCTCACAGGAAAATCCAGAGGTGGCACTAGCTACGCCCAAGCACTGTCCCATCCCGAACATCAGTGGTACCAGTTTGAGACTCTGGGGAAAGGAGGGAAACTTGATCAGCAGCCCTGGCTTCCCGGTCATTTGCTAGTGGTGATGGCCTCGGTCTATGGGCTGCGTGACGTCATGAATAAAACTCAGAGGCTGGCCTTTGCCTGGCGCTCCTCAGCAGCAGGTCACGCAGAATGTGAACAGGTGCTACCGAGAAGAAGAGGTGGGTCTGCGGTCAAGTGACTCCAGGGCCCTGGAGCTGGAGGGCACGGTGCTCTCAGGAGTGCGAGGAAACTGACCTGAAACAGTTGTCATGTGATGAGTTCCCTGCTTGCTGACACCCCAAGGATGGCGGGGTCATAGCCCGGCCTTTGCTGGGCTTGCAGGCTGATGGGTAGAGGTGGGGAGTTGCTCGGGGCCAGAGGACGCTCAAGGCATCCTCCCTGGGCTCTCCCTGTGAGGAGGGCTACTAGGGAATCTCTTGGGGTGCTGAAGCCCCTGCCTCATCCCTGAATCAGTGTAAATCATCTGATCCACCTCAAAGAAGCTATCGCAATCATCTCTGGGATAACCTGAAAGGCCGCAGCTTTAGGGCCGACTCCTGGCAGAGCAGAGCCGGGTTCCATTTTGCGGCTCTTGTGTCTCTCAGGGGGGCTAGCCCCAGGACAGAAGTGGAACTGGAAGATAAGTCCCCTCCAGCAACCTAGAAGGGGGCTTTCTTTTCTTCTTCGCTCATTTTGTTAGGGGAAAAGGCTGTCCTAAAGCTGATTCCATACAGGCTTTGTGGACTCCACCCCCACCTCAGGCCAAAGCCAAAGACACTGGGAACTCCACATCCCATCCCCACCCAATGGAAGGTGGCTGGGGCCTGAGGGTGGGGTTAAGCATCCAGGTGGGGATAAAGCCAGACACGTGGGGACAAATGGGGTCCCCCATTTTGGCTCCCCGCCAGCTCGCAGCGTCCGGCCAGCTCTGAGAGTGCCTTTGGGTTTCCAGGTAGGCGGATCGGGTAGGAAGCATTAAAGACTTTATTTCCCTATTTTCTCCCTGAGTTGTACATTTTCCTCATTTCCCTTTCCCTTGTAAATAAACCTTTTATTAAGCTTCTGTGTGTGCCTGTAGTGGAGTATTCATAAGTCCCTTGTAAGCGCTGGTGAGGACCCACAGCCAGGAACCAGTTCAATATCGGGGCTGCTCTATAACAATTTCAGAGGAAAACTGGCTAGACGTCAGAGCCCTTTGCCAGGGCTGCGTGGAAGGAGCGAGACAGTGAGCAGGAGGAGGGAGTCTGGGCGGAGTCCAGGGCCCCGGGAGAAGGGCCGACACCGCCTATGGGCCCTCGAGCCAGTGGGAGCCCACAGTCCTAGAGAGCCAGGGTTTGGGAGATGCCCTTGCTCTCCTGATGCTGACAAGCAGGAGGGCAAAAGGAGCACGTGAAGTTGTACTTTTACCTGCGCAAAATTACTGAGAATGCTTAAAAATAAAAAGCCACTAAAGGTCATGATTCGGGAAATGCCTCTTTTTTGTTTACTCTTTTTTTGCAAAAGCCTCCCCTGGGTGAAGAAGGCACTTTCGGCTGAGGAAAGAGAAGTACATTAAAGATGCACCCCGGCCCCCCACTTCATGCACGGGCACCCTGTGCCCTCAGGAACCCCGTCCTCTGTCTCCAGAGGTCTAGTGCCCCGAAGACGCTGGCTCTGGTGTCTTTCCTGAAAAAAATCTTTCCTGACACAAGGGGCTAAACCCCGCCGAGGAGCCGTGTGGTGAAACCTTTAGCCCAGAACACAGAACCTACAGGAAGTGGCTGAGATACGGTCGCTAACTCGGCGGAGTCTCCACTGCTGGCCAGTCGAGGTCAGGGCCTACGTCAGGGCCGGAGTGGAGCCCAGGCCGAGGGGGCAGGTCTGTGCTCCCACCAGCCGCCCTGTGTTCCCACCACCTCAAAGGCCGGCCCTCCTCAGAGCTGGGTGGGGGGGGCACCCCCACCCGCCTTCCTGGAACCGACTTCGAGGCTGTTCTGGCCCCACCCAGGCCCCTGGTCTTGGACTCGCCTCTCCCTAAGGCTGCAGGTTCTGAGCACGGGGCTCGGCATGGTGCAGGCAGGGGGGGCGCACGCGTCGGGGTGCCCACGGTGAGTTAACGGCAGGATGGCAGGGACCAGCTCTCTGGCCCCGCGGCAGCTCCTCTTCCCATGGGGAGAAGACCCCCTCCAGGACCATGGCACCGTAGACAGCCGAGCTCATAAAGGGCGCTCCGGACTCCCAGGGGACAGATGGAGACCCGTTCCCAGGTACAGGAGACGGGCTGTGCTCGATCAGGGGTAGACGGTATTTTAACCAGTGGGGATGGAAGAAGGGAAAGGATGCATGGCAAGACCACAGGGCGCGCCGGAGAACAGTGAAGATTCAGTTCAAGTATAGAAATTCCTAGTGACCAGCTGCCTCTCGTTGCCGTGACTACAACAAAGGCAGGACAAGCCCCTCCCTGAAGGACTCCGCAGTGAGGAAAGAGGGAGACACATAAAAGACACTCATGGACTTGAGCAGCACAACTGCCTGATCAGGATGCCCAGTGAGAAACAGGTTACCAGTGTGCCCTGGTGCGGATCCTCCGGTGCTAGGCCGCTGGGCGGGGTCTGGTCAGGGTCGGTGGCCCCTGGAAGGCCTCCTCTAGCACCCGGGGGACCCACAGGTAATTCTATTTCCTAACTGTGCCCTGAGAGGACAGAGCTGCCAGAAGCTGTTCTGGGAGTGGACGATCACGGTGGGCTTTCTGGAGGAGGCGATTCCTGAGTTGGGGCCTGAGAGTCAGAGCCCACCAGAAAGGTAGAGGAGACCTTGGACAAAGAGGTATCTGAGAGTGTAATAATACAGAGAACCTATTCCCTGAGCAGTTATGACCCTTTCAAGGGATCTCATTTCATCTCAATGTTCTGAGGAGAAGGTGAGCTCAGCAAGACCGGGGCTGAAGTAGTCTTCCCACAGTCACACAGCCAGCAGGCAGGGAAGCCAGGATTACAACCAGGTATGATTGTCCCGTTGTTCAAAACTATAGCACTATGCCACGCCCTGTCAGGAAATCCACGGAGACATTGAACAATGCTGGGGAGGAGGTGGGGTGGGGGGACCCCACAAGCACTATGTTTTCCTGGGAGGTGGAAGGCTGAATGGTCAGTGGAGAGCAACAGGCTCGGAGGGGACGCCTCGCTCAAGCCGGGAGGGCCGTGTGGACAGTGGCTCAGAGTCCGGATTGTGGGAACGAGCCAAGGAGCCACCACGTGTCTGCAGAGGTGGGTGAGGCCAGCCTGCGCCATCACGGCCTCGGTCTTGGGCCGGACTTGGTAAGCAGGGAGGCACTGAAGACTCTTCACCTGGCACGCGCTGTCCTGAGCATCGGGAAAATAACTCTGAGAGCATGGCCAGGATCCAGAGGGGAGGTGAGAGAGAAAGCAGGGTCAATTTTCCCTCAGACCCCTGGGCCGTACAAGTAGTTGTCATGGTCCAACTTTCCTACTACCCTTTCGAGGCTTTCCACGAAGGCAGCAAAGCGAAACTGCAAGTTAAGCAAGTGCAGAGTGCTGACCCCTGTCCTCAGAGGGCCTCTGGAGGGCAAATCCTCAAGATCAGCTTGATAATAGCGAGACCCTGGAGGGCAAATCCTCAGGTCCTTTTGAAATCAAAGGGGGCAAGGATGAGGAAAGTCCAGAGAAAGGACCCAGATCTCCACTGAAGGACTAACCATCATAATTCGCCACTTGCCACCCTTCCTTGTCCATAACTCTGGTTAGGATGCTTCAAGGGCCGGCACCTTTCAGCCCGGATGTGAACCCGGGCTCTGTCTCCTGCTCCGTTCACCTGGAAATAAAACTCTCTTTTCTCAAGGTCAAGGTCATAGTATTGGCTTCTAGGCCAGTCAGGCAGTGGACCCTGTTCAGTAACAAGAGCCCTCATGGAAATACACATCTGAAGGTTGCTGCTGGAGCCCAGAGTGACGGGGCCCTGGGGGCATGGCGCGACTGGCAGTCTACAACCTCACATGACCTACTGCCATGATGGCCTCGTGACTTGCACCATCCCAGGAGGGTTCCAAAATGCAGTGGGGTGCTCTTAACACGCCCCACAGCTTGCCCCTCTTTAACATGCCCCACAGCCTGCCCCTCTTTGCTGTACTCCTTCTCCATGCATCCTCCTCAGTTTCCCCAGCAAATTCTGGTGCATTTGCCCTGCTGGTGCATAACCATTACTGACCCACTATCGCCACCTGGGCCTCACTCCCTATCCCAGGGAGCTTCTCAGAGCGTTTCCACCCTACAGACACAAGAAGGGGTCCTTGAGAGGATTTCCAGGGAGTTTTCTCCTGCACTGTTCACAGAACCCCGGTCCCCAGTCAATAACCCTCAGACTGCACCCTGCAGCCTCACCTCTGCCTGGTGCCTGGAGGGTAACTCCTTGTTTCCCAAATGGGTGAGGAAAGGTGGAAGGCACAGGGTCCTCATTACCCAACCCGTGCAGTGGACACTAATGATGACATGTTGCACACACAAGGGAATGAGAGACATTTCTCCTAGTCAGACAAGACGGCTATGGACGGGCAGTATTTGATTTTAAAAATTGAGGCTGCAAAGTCCCAACTTGATCCTAATCAAACTGTGGTTCAGAATAGCTTCCCCCTGAGCACTTCCATCCTGAGGAGGACAGAAGCCTGTCCACGCACGCCGGCTGGGGCAGCAGGGGGGATGTTTGCTTCTGTGGGATGTTCGTTTCTGACATCCAGTCCAGTTCGATCCAGGGCCAACTGCTGAGACAGAGGCTGCAGGCATGGGCTGTGTCCATGACAACCACACAGCTGAGGCCCCAGGAGGATGGGAAAGACATGGTGTGGGGTAGATGCACCTCCCCAGGTCTCCCTGAGACAGAGGAAGCTTTGGACCAGCAGGACGTGCCCTCAGCAAGGAGTTCAAGTCCCAGGATGCACTGAGGCCGTCACATGTGGGTCTGAGCACAAAGGGTGCCTGTGTCGGTCCCAAGACAGACCCTGAGCACTGGTGCGAACTCACAGGAGACTGTCACCTTAGATACGGTGAGGCTTGCCTGAGGGACGGTGATATACACGGTGGCTCTGAGTCATCTGGACACGGGGCTCCAGATGGGTGTTTTTATGGGGGGGGTCCAAAGGTGGGCTTGCCAGCAAGAACCAGAACCGTGGGGACATTCGGCTAGCATTCATGCAAATGTTTTCGTCTTCTGCTTAGAGAATCAGCTCCTGTTACTCTGGGAACTAAATCCTTATAGACATGACTCTGAGCCAAGAAATTTTATTTTTTTCAGTCTCAATAGTGTGACAAAAGCAACACATGGCAATTCCTCCTCATTGTTTAACGCATTAGCACACCCAGTTAAAGCAAGCTGCAGGAGTACCACGGTGGCGTCCACGTTCCGAGGACACATTTAGTACCAGACACAAAGCCGTAGCACCTTTGATTGGAGGTATGCTCGATACGCGTGCTAGTTCATAATCTACACCAAAAGGGATGACTTTGCATTTGCAAAAACCACAGAGAGGGACTACGCGAAAACACGGCCAGACAAGCTGAGTGGAAAACACTTGACAGTCCCCTCTCGTCCAAATGAATCCTGGGTCTGACTGAGCCGAGGCCCTGAATGAAAAGCACAGTCGGTGGAAATACAGTCTATGGACAAACATAAGGGGGTGGGGAAGAGTTGAGCTAGATTTTGTCCTGATTTCACTCAAATGCCCCGCTTGAATTGAGGGTAAGAGGTTGGGATTGGTGCTTGTCTTTCTACAGTCTTAGGGACAGTCCCACACACTCGATTTCTTCCCGTGAGCATGGTAGACATGAGCCTCTTCCTGGTGGTTTCAAAAAGGCAGAGAGTCTCGTTGCCATGGTGAATGAAAATGACATTCTTTCACGATATTTTGAAAATTTCATTCATTGACAATTTTTGATGTATAAATTTTAGCCCACCTACTCTCAGCATCCAAAACTATGAGTTGATTGACCCTATTGAGTAAAATTTCATTTTAGGTCATGACTGGGATGTAAGTAGGAAGACACCTTTTGTCTGTGTGCCTTCTCTGCAAACGTTGTGAATGTGGTGGGGAGTCATTTTAACTACTTCCGAGACAAAATTTTAAACGTCCTTTTTTAGTTCATGCCTTTACAGATTTCCTAGTTAAACAATCTTTTAATAGCTCCCTTCTAAGATTTCCTTCTTTAACCACTGAGTTTATAGTCTATTCAAAGCTGAAAAGACCAATTATGGACATTGAAATTGCCTAAGATATGTCCAGCACATCTCTTTTGGGTAAAGATACCTACCACCAGTTCCAGAGAAAGTAGGGACTAGGGGGTTCAATAAGGTAACCTCTCCAGCTCTATGCTGTTGCCTCCACCATCCTTATTTAAATGAGTATCTTGGCTTCATTCTAAAACTAAGGATTAAATAGAATGTCTTATAGTAAGAGTTCTAAGTTCGTGTATCTCCTAGCTTATGCTCAGGATAATAATTCTTATTTGCTAGATATTTATGGAAAAGCCGTATAAATGGGTTGGTAATCAGTGGGTATTCCCAGGAAGCAAGCCACGGGAAATGTCCCCAAATGCTGAAGCAGATTCATGTGCAAAGATGCTCATTCCGCTGACCAATCACAAGCAACATTTTAGGCCCAGCATGATGACGTCATTAGCAGGTGGATTGATGATGCAAACACTAACCTAATGTTTAAGAAGATCGTGAATATAAATAGGACATCTTTGATAAAGTCCTAAGTGAAAAAGCTTATACAAAATTGTAAATGTGGCATGCTGACATCATGTAAAAATTTAAAAGGGAAGTAAAGCATGCCTAGAAAAAAATAGATTTGGAAAAACATCCTGAAATGTTAACTATCTTCAGACGGTAGGACTATTTATATTCTTACATTCTGATGTAGTCTACATTTTTAATGATATCCATGAATTATCTTCAATGGGAAAATAACAAAGAGACTAAAGAGAAGCACCGAATGAAAACAAAGCCTCTGCCACCTCAAGGCTCCACTTTGGGATGATGTTTCACATTGATAGGATTGGAGTTCCTGGAAGAGCGAGAGGGAAATATGCTGCTTTTTCACCCCCTTTCAGAATAAAAGGCATCATGAAAAATGAAAACAGTTTCTCCTGAAAATGGTAGGGTCTTTTTGCTAGGACATGTGTTAGACTCTCATTTTTGATTTAGGAGACTTTTAACAATAAGCCTGATGCATCTGTCACATAATGCAAAAAAAAAAAAAAAAAAAAAAAAAAAAGGAAATAGTAAAGAATCAGTAAGACAGAAACAAAATAACAATACAAGGGGAAAAAGCATGACCATTCTTATTCCTAAGGGAGATGTTCCATAATACGCAAGGGTCAAAAAATAAAAGAAGTGAAGGAAAAGGGACTGCAGTGTGCCAACACCAAAGCTGGTGTCAACACCAAGGCCTAGCCACGGAGACTCAGAAAGTAATAGGACAGGCGTGGGGGAAGCACATTGTGGGAAACAGGCCTCCTTTCTATCCACCTGCTCATGTGAACTCCATCACTCATTTTATTGTCAGATCTGCACACACATGGGATGATTAAAACCATCCTCTGTGCACACAGGGATCTGACCATTCTAACTTAGTAGTAAGTTCCAAAAGTGTTCCTCAGAGTTCCTGGAGTCTTTTCCATCTTCATGTCTAATATCACCTGTGAAAATAAAGAACATTATGTAAAGAATGGATTTCCCTCCTTTCATTCTCAGGATGTGATTTACTTCAGAATTTGATAATATACAAATAATGGACCCAGATATTCTGAACTGAGAGGTTTGCTTGTGGTATTGAAGAGGCTCGGAATTGTTTCTCTTCAATATGTGGCTTCTGAGGGTTTGCCAATTTGAACTGAATGACTAAAGCTGAATGGTCAAGGCTCACCTCATTCAATCTAGCTTGAGACCCAAAAAGTTGGTGCATGCTTTCTATGTTGAGTGGGTTTGGGTTCTGCATAAATTGAAGAGTGGATAGCAAAGTTAAAAGCTGCAATAATTAATTGAGATGAATTGTCATGATGACTCCCAAAGGAACTTCCAATCCTTTACTGAACTAGAATTTAAGTGCAGCAAATACAAGACTAAATACTATGTACAGATCAACCAATTTCCAGTACCCTTCTTTTCCCATGGTCCTCCGGGGAGATTCAAACTCCTAAGTGTGAAAATTGAACAAACAAATGGCTCTATTCTCATTCTGGTCCTTACCGCCTTCCAACCTTTGTGTGAGAAACAGAAAAATATACAACACTCCTCTGATAAGTTCATCCCTATTAGTGGATGGAAGACTAATTCAGAGATGAAAAGCCCAGATGGGCAAATTAATTATAAATTAATAAATTAATAACCTGCCCCTAATGCCAGTTCCTGCCCTACCTCCAGTGGTGCTTGTTCACACCCACCTGGGGTTGGCATTCTCTTTCCGTCCCCTTACCTCCAGGAAAGATCACCCTCACCCCTCAGGGAAAGATGTATTAGTGAAGCACTAGAAGAAAAATGTTTTAACAGCAAGTACCTGGTTTCCTATAAAATCACATTTTTGGTGAATTTCTTAAGGATATGCCAGACAACCACCATCAAAAAAAAAAGAAATTGCATTTTAAATCCAGCAGTAAAAAATTATACCAAAAAAAAATTGGACATACTGAATTCATTGTTTCTAAACACAAAAGAGGTTAAGAATTTATGAAACACCTGTTGTCTGATGTGCTCTAACTCTCCTTCCTCATGGATGACCCATGCAGAAACAAAGTATGACCTTCTCCCATTCCATTTTCACTCACCAATTAATTAATTCACCATAGATTAATAAAAGTTTAAGTGTAAGTCAATACACTGGGAAAAGAATGAGAAATGAGATTAGAGCTTTAAGAAGTGAATGTGCACATCTCATTTTGATTCTTTTCTGATTATTACACCTTTATGGTTTTTTTTAAAATTACTTTAATTGTTTCATCTCTTCCTGCTTGTTTTTTCCTATATTGCAGCTCATAAATTAAACACAATGGCAGTGTTTCAAAACTCAAATTTTAATTTTTGCAAGGTTGAATTTTTTTTTCATTAAACATGAAAGAAGTGAAATACATTCTTCCTAACTATGCAAGGTTCATCTTCTTGAGCTCATGGGGAGGCTGTACTTGCCTTTCAGGTTATGTAAACTCTGCATCAATCTTGCTTTAACAAAGTCCTCCATGATGGAGGGGTTTTAATAGGATCTATAATTGCCCAAAAAAGGGTATAGCGTTACCAAAGTAAAAGAAACCCAGTGCAACAAGGTGAGTCTGAAAGCACAATCACTCATGAGTAGACACTCCAGTGTGAGTCTTTAACGCACAGGCAGCGATCCACGCCTCCCCTCCAAGCTCCCAGGGCAGAGCTCTCAGCACCTAGTGAGCCCCCAAAGATTAATAATAACTCAATAATGAAGGGCAGGGAAGGAAGCATTGATCTGTAAGTGCATGTGCGATATGGAGTTATTCAAGGCAAGGGGGGAAGGAGGGAGAGTGGAGGAGGGCCTGGGGGCAGAGGGAGGCAGGAGGAGGGAGAAGTCGAGAGGAAGGGGTGGAAGGGGAGAGGCGGAGGGAGGCAGGGGAGGGGAGGAAGCGGGAGAGAGTGGGAGAGGCAAGAGAGGGAGAAGAATTTTGTTTCCTTTCCCTGCAGATCACTTTCTTGAAAAGTCCAGGGGACGCGGTGCCCATTGCTGGTTTTTAGTAGCTCTGCAGATCCTAGTGACATTTTAACGTTTGATCCCAGGACGGGCAATTAAAGCGGATGGCAAGTTCATCACGCAAAGCCCCGGGTTCAGTCTTGCAGTAACTGAATTACATTTTTACTGTGCAAGTGAGCTGTCGCTAAAACCTTAGCTGCGCCACTAAAACAGCAGTGGTCGTGGCAAGATGACCAACACGCCTCTGTGCATCCACGGCAAAGAGCAGGAATAATGAAATGATGCATGACGAGGGCAAGATGCGTGCTTCAGACACTGATCTGTAAAGACATGCGTGACACAGAGTTGTGTAGGAATGAAAACACCAAGTCTTGGGACAGCGGCGTCTTGAGTCAGCGACTGCCCAAATGGTACAGGTTGCAGGTGCTTTTCAGAGAGTCAAAGGGCAGCTGCACACTCCGGCTGAGGGGCTGACCTCTGGCTCGGGAGGAAGCGGTGGGTAAGGTAAGGCAAGGAGAAGCTCCCATGGGTTCCTTCCTATCCCTCTGCTGCAGGGGAAGTGTTTGCACATGCATGACATTCCGGGCTGGTGATATGTGACAGCAGAATAACTGAGGAAAAGATCACCATCTTCAATTAGTCTCGAAATAGGCAGATTTTCAGTGCAGAAGAAATCCATTAGCATCACTTACCTTGCTGTAATTAGATTTTTCTCCACTGGAGCTCGTGAGGTCTTACTTGATTTTATTAGCGATCTCTTTCAGAAGACCTTTCAGATCATTGAGCTTGCAAAGGAGAAAGAATAGAGCTGGACTTAAGATAAATTTTTCAACTGTGAATTGGAAATTCACACTCTATGGCTTTTTTATGAAACAGACATCTATGTGAAGAAGGAACAGGGTGGAATCAGTGATCCATGCAATTGCCAGACTTGCCCTTGCTGACTTTCTAAAATCATATCACTAGCAATAGATCATTAGCGCTGCTAAGTATTACTTTCTTCCAGTGCAGATCACCAGTGGCTCCCACATAGAAATGATAGAATTTAACAACACCAAGAAATAATCTATAGAAATAATAATGTTCCATGTAATTAATAGGAACAAACTTGTAAGATACCAATATAATTTTGCTTTGAAGAAAATATAATACAAATAAAAATAAAATATGATACCCACAAATCAAGTTTTTTAAATAAAGTGTCTCCTGCAACAAAAATCCACATAGATAAGCAAAACAATTATGTAGTACCCCTTAAATTTAAGTGTCACTTATGTCAATTCTGTCTCAGAATCCTGGAAACAGAATAGTGAAGCCATTTAAGTAAAAGCACAATAAAATTATTCTGACTCTGGCATCCTTTGCAAGTTTATTACAAGAGGCATGAGGCTCATCTTAAATGACCTGCCTCTTGGTATCCTTGACAAACACTCGTGGGCACTGGGCACGTTCTGTCCAGCTTGCTGGACTCAGTAAACAGTACATGCTGCAGAGCCCCAGCTGTCAGCACAGCAGACACTACATCTACACACAAATCTGCGACATGAGAAAAGTGAGTTTATCAAGTAGGTTATATATTATATATTATGCATCTAGTATAATAGCCAACCTTACAATACCATCCCTTGTTGCTTTCCTACATTCTTAATATTCCTTAAATTTTCTCTAATCTTTAAAAATACCCCACACATTTCTTTTCCTTCCACTAACCTTAATCATTCTATGGATCCTAGCACAGTCATCCATGTTCCTGACTCAGCTCCACTAACAGAGGGTCTTCCAGCCTCTTCGTTAGAAAACAGCAACCTCACCGTGACCTCTGAGAGCAGAGGTGCCAAGCAGTTCTATTGTGTGATAGCGAGTCTCCTAGCGTGGCTGTCACCACCTCTTTCTCCCACCTGCACATCAAGAAGTGGCATCTACGGCCTCCACACCTGAAGGAGGCTGGCGCTGGACTGGCTGAACCCATAGAATCGGGCAGCTGCACGGTGTCAGATCCTGGCCCGGCTTTTCTGAGCACTGGTGGGCTCTGCCTCCTCGCCTGTGAAAGCCAGCACTATGCAGGAAGGGGGACTGCCCAAGACCACCACGCTGTGACCAGCTTGCGCGATATGAACAAGAGATCACATGGGAGCGCCAAGTGCCAGGTCCTGGCCCCGCCACCACTGAACCAGCCCAGTCAACTGAGCCTTGTAAAGCTGAGAAAACGTGAGCAGAAGAACTGTCCAGCCGAGCCCGCCCCCTCCTGACTCCCCAAATCAAGAGATCACTAGACAGGTTGCTTGGAACCACTGAAGTAGGGGGGCCCTTTGTTACACAGCAGCAGGGAGCTAGAGCAAATTGTCACTAAAACATTCCTTTGTCAGCACTGAAAATGCCAGCGTGGGGAGCAGGGAGGGCAGGTCCCTTGGAGAGGCAAGGTGGGGAGACTGGGAAGGAGAGAGCTGCTCCTGGGCAGGAAGTGCCAGGCACCGAACCATCGTCCTGCGCAGGACCAGTGTCCAGGACCAGCGTCCAGTGTTTTTCAAGTCTGAAAAACATGGTCTCAATTTTGTTTTAATGTTGGCAGGAAATAACACACGAATAAATCTACTAAAGATTACGACATGGGCACCTTCTCACGGAAGAACCCCACATGGGGCTCCTATTGTTCACGGATTCATTCAACAAACATTCGCTGAGCCCCTACTGTGGGCAAGCTCCTTGGTGCCAGCGATCCACCATGCCAATGGGGTGTTGTGTAGCTATCAAACAGCACAGCAGCAGGGAACATGAATGCCAGTGTCCAGGGTGCCATCCCGGAGATGCCAAGGTAAAATGTCAGATACCATCTCCTCCTCAGAGCCTAACAGGTATCTGGCACTTGTGAGTCAATGACAGTTTCTGCCAGACCTCGTCATGGTCTGGCTGCCTGGCTCGGTGGAGGTGGGCACACGCTCTGCACGGTGCCCACGTGTTGCATGCATCCCTGCGCCCTTCAAAGTAAGCAGGGAACAAGTCAGAGCGACTTGTCGGGCTCCCTTGGCGCCCTCCTGGTGGTCCAGGAATGGAGACGCTGAACATGGAACGGAATATATCTTTTTAAGAAAATAATAAACTTCTGTTATTTTTAGATCACAAACACTGGCTGAAAACTCAAAGATAATATAAAGGGACTTAAAAAATGTTTCCAATCTATAGTCAGAACTGTACCTTTGTATCCAGTTGTCTGAATCGAACCCTCATTCTGAAAGAGAAAGAGAGAGAGAGAGAGAGAGAGAGAGAGAGAGAGGGAGAGGCGCTCAGCGACGGCTATTAAGTCGATTTTACAGTCTTTGAAAGAACAAAATACAGATCATTTTCATTGTCACCTAAATTAGCACCAGCTGTGGGCACCTCTGCTTCCTTCCTAACGGGACAGAGTCCATCTTAGCAGGTAGAAGTGCAGCAAACAGAGGCTACCTCCGCTGCCAGGGTGGTGGACACAACCTGGAAGGCCCATCCCTCCCTCCCAGCCGGGATCTCAGCGCCCAGCACCCAGGGGTCTTCGGGGCTGTCTCGTTACTTCAAGAGAAGGAGCCGCCCAGTGTTCTCTGACATGCAGGGCCTGGGGGTGGGGGGCACCTGCTGTGCCTGTATTTACTCTTCCTTCGTTGGCGTGACCTGTGAGTCGTGCTGGGGGCCCTGCCTGCCTCACAGCTGACCAACCATGTGGGCCCCCAGGGTAGGAAGGACGTGCCCCCCAAGTCCAGTCCACGTGGCTGGCAGGACCGAGGCTCTAGTGGATTATTCTGGTTCAGTGGGATGTTTTGGACAATCCCGTGCAATTCACACATGATGGGGAGGGCCTCGCAGGAAGGGTCTAGAACAGATCAACCAAAGGTTTCGCCAGATCACTCTACTTCCTAATCACAGAGACAGGTGAGTTGTACCTGCACCAGCCGGAGCCAGCGAGCCACAGGGCTTCCTGGAACCCGCCTCGCAGCGTTGGCGGGGCCGGGCACCTTCACCTGTTTCCCAGGCCTGCACTGCAAGCATCAAACCCCTCTGTCTCCCCCAGGGTCTGGAAGGACTAAGGGGGCGGCGGGTGGGCGGTTTCTGCCCTCTGGGAAGGCTGCCTTTTGCTGCCGTGGTTCCCTGCTGTGAAACCTCTGTAGGGAGTTTGCTCAGATAAGCTGCTACACTCTGCCGGGTTGTGGGTCCAGGGTCGGGGCTGGGGGTCCCGGCAAAGCAGAAATGAAGGGCTGACATACTCCTCTGAGGTGTCGTTGGATTTCGTGTTGATCTTGACAAGGTAATTCTCCTTCATGACACCCTCCCACGCCAGCGTCTCCTTATCTTCAGTCCTGAAACCTTGAGCAAGAAAACAAAGACAAGCGATCACACTATTTCACTTGCCCCTCGTCCTAAGTCAGCCCCTGCCAGGTATTCAGTGAGGCTCTGGGGCCAGGAGAGTGGCCTGATCTGACCCCAGACCCCACCATGGGGCCGCAGGGAGAGGGAATATTAATGCACATCTGGAAACCCACGTGGAATCGGAGCTGCCTGCGTGAAACAGGCGTGCAATCTGCATTCTGAGCAGATTTCCATCCTAAGCCTGCCCGCGTGTTCCGCGGCTTAGCCAAATCATCTCACTAATGAATTCGGTTCTCACATTTCACGGGTCTTCCCCTTCCATTGTGAAGACAGCAGAACGCTCAGCCAGCCGCTCGGCTGTGTCCCAACAGGCGGACTGCCGACCCGCAACCCGAAGCTGGGGCGGGAGCTTTGGAGGAGCAGACCACAGGAAAGGTGCTCTGGACTTCCATCCCTCCTGCCCTCCCGACGTTTCCAGCCTGGGGGTGGCCCTCGAGGTAAATGTTTACACCTAATCTTTTCCTCTCACCCACATCAGGACTCGATGCTAACGTGGTGGGCCGCATGTTCCTGCAAGAGTCTTCATTTGGGTTTTGTACAGTGCCTTCGCCTTCAGAAGGCAAGCAAGCCAGAGAACAATCCCCTGCGCAAATTCACAAGGAAAGAGATGCCCAGATGTGGTGCAGGTGTCCACTCGGGATTTGAAATGTGCTCTGACTTGCAAATGTGCTCACCGGCATGTTAGAGTTCAAGAACAGGGCTACGATCATCTTGGATCTCAAAAGAATTCATTGGAGGACAAAGACAGGGCCAACAGGCAAGTGGTGGAATTGAAGCAAATCTGGATGAATTTTTAAATGGCGGCCGTGCACTTTCGGAAACAATAACTGGAATTCTTTCCTTTCATTGTTCCTACTAAAGTCAGTTGCAACGACTTTTCTTCAAACTAAAATGTCCGCAGACGTCCCGTCGGCGTCCCGAGAGCCAACCAGGAAAGAACAGACACTCCTGAGCACAGAGGGGCAAAGGCAAGCTTGACAAGAGACGAGAACAGCGCTCACCCTCTGCACGGCCCGGGCAAGCTGGCTGAAAGGACGGCACAGCATGCTCACCAACGAAAGTGGGAAACGAGCAGGGTCTACAATAACCACCAGCTCTTATGCTGGCAAAGTGCGGGTCAACAGGCTTCCCATTTACTGGGAAAAAACCTATCAATCAGCCACCAGAGAAATCCTTGCCCGGTCCTGGGAGCTGTGTTTAGAGGCGTCAGCCGGAGAGCCCCTCACTGAAAGCCCCACCGAGCGTCCAGTCCGTGAAGGCCCAGTTCACAGGCGCCAGGCCAGGGGGCATGGAGCCAGCTCAGGACAATGCCTCGGCTTCTAGAAAGGACCTTATACTCTGTCCCGCCTTCCTCCCTGTGCACCAGCCCATGGAGGGTCAGTAGCAGTAGCTGGCGAGTGGGCAGAGGCAGGAAGAAAGTGAGGGGGGGAAGCGGCCCGCCTGCCTGGGGAGCCTCCTGTCTGAGGGGGAGCACACGAAGTGGGGTCTCCCGTCTGAGTGATGGTGGGTGGGCTGGTTAATATACGAACCACACGCCCCAGTTTCTAAATTGAGACTTGCGCCCAGCAGGGTCCTGGCATGGTTTTCTGTTTTCCTAGGAACCACCCACAGGCCCTCTGGAGTCAGCCGCCGTCTTCGGAATGAATCGAACGAATGAATGAAGCAATGAGGGCAGCCAAAGGCCTGTTCTGACCCCGCCCCCCAGTCCTGCTTGTTCCACATCTCATTTACGTTATTGCCACATCAGCCAGAAGCTCTGCCCAGAACAAGGCTCCCCAGGCCCCCCGACAACACTCGCTGCATCTTCCCTTTCTCTTGAGCCCGACACACAGACGGGAGTGGTGAGTGAAGTCACCCAAGCCCGCCCTGTCGGGACAGGACCACACGCCTTCCCCTGACATCCTCAGGGCCTGGGGCCCAGGCACCTAAGGGGGCCACTAGGAGGGGGCCTCGGGGCATCGGGCTGGGCACGATGAGAGCCACTCACAGCAGGCCGAGGACTCCGTGTCCGTCTTGGTGCAGCAGCAGTCAAAGAACTTCTTCACCACCATGTAGAAGTAAGCGAAGACCACGAAGGGGAAGGGGATGTTGAGGCGGTTGCAGTACTCCTGCACCAGGAAGTACCGCTGGAACTTCCAGACCTGGTCATTGTTCTCCTGCACGATGCCCACCGTGTAGCTGGCAGGGAGAGAAGCCCAGCGCGTCGCTCGTCACCAGCGCGACCGCATCAGTGCTAAGCTAGTAATGGGGCCCCGCTAGGGGAAGGGGAGCCACCCCTGACACCAGGCCAGGAGCACCCAGCCCGGGACTTCACCCCAGGCTGGGTCCACACCGGACTGGCTTTCATTTCATGTGTTCATGTGGTTGTTGTTTTCACGTGTCACACACATACGCGCGCGCGCACACACACACACACACACACACACACAATCCAAGGAACTTTAGCATTTTCATTCCAAGACCTTTCAAGGGTTCTCTTTTTTCATTAATCTGTTATTGTGTTAAATACAAAGAGGCCCAAGACGTCCACTCTCAAGAAGAATTTTTCCCTCATGCATACTTGGGGGGCGGAGGGGGGAGCTGGATTGGAATCGGGCTGGAAAAGTAGTTTGTTGATATTTATCAAGGGCCTTAAAAATGTTCATCCCTTTGACTATCAATGGTGACTTCTGGAAATTTAACCTAAGACTGAGGAAGTACTGAGGAGAGAAAGTACTTGGATGTACACACACACACACACACACACACACACACACACGTTCACTACAGCACCCTGACAGCAGCCCTCACGTCCACCCCAACAGAATAGAATAACCAAAATATTCAACGTTGAGAAAATGGATCCCATATTATAGCTAATCGATATGATTATGTTATTCAGCCATTAAAAATTACATTTATGACTAATTTTTATATGTTAGGGAACATTCTTATAATAGATGTTAAGTGAAAATAATTAGGCTCACACGCATACTTAGAAGACAATGGCGCTGTGTCAATCACAACTCGTGGGGAAGACGCCCGTCCTCCGAGGGCCCTCTGGCCTCACGCCACGGCCCCCCCTTAGTCATTTTTCTATTTGTTTCCCAAACATTGTGCAACGAACATGAATGACTTACATAATTAGAAAAATGCTTATCGATTGGGAAAATGTCCAATTATATACTGCTGATTTATCCGTTACCAATTAAACCAAGCCTGTGAGAGAGCTAACACTTATTATACAGCAGACACTGTTGTAAGCAGTCAACTTATAATAATTAACTCTGAAAACAACTCTCAGTAGAATGCAAGTCCCATTGTCATCTGCAATGAACAGGTAGGAAACTGAGGCACAGCAAGGACAAATATATTTGTCCAAGTCCCCCAACCAGAAAGGGGTGAAGCCCAACGCACCCCCCCCCCAGCATCGCCTTGCTTGCCACTACCCACCAGCACTTCGCAGAGCAGAGTGTGGAATGCTTCCAGCTCTGCTGTATTTTGGAAGATTTGGTTGGCTACTTAGTAAAAAACAACTACCAAGCACTTCACCCTCTGTGAAGCTCAGCCAGCCAAGACCCTGGACTCACTAAGAGCAAAACAGCCCTTGGGGAGCCGAAGAAGCAGCAGGGAGCCCTTTGAAGTCTCCTGTAAGCAAATCCTAAGTGGGGATGCGTTCAATTCTCCAAACTCTGAAATCGTATAGAGGTCAGAAGAGGTGGCCCAGCAGAGAAACTGGACGTGTTTGTTTTGAGATGTCAGGCTTGTTCTTGGCACTTTGCGATTAAAGGCTTGACCCTCTTGAGCCAAGAGAAGATGGTGTATCTGGCTGTTTAGACCAGTGCTTGTCAACAAGGGCTGGTGCTCGTACCTGCCTGTGTTTTCCACAACCCTGCCTCCAAGCGCTGCCCCGGGGGTTCTTCAGGACAATCTGGTTGCCACAGGCTCCCTCCCCTCTTCCTCTCCACCTAGGGCGCAGGTAGACCCAGCCAGCAGTCGTGCCTTCCTGGGCAAACATCCCGGGCAGGTGGGGATCGGGCTGATACTGATCATCAACGCCCCAACGCTTCCTTTACTGAGCCACCTTCCCCACAACAGCTTCCAAATTGTTCTTTATCTCTCAAATCAGTCTGGACTTAGCCAAATGGTTATCCAGGAAAGGCTGGTCATCGAGCGCTGCCTCGGACCACTTTGCAAAATAATTTTTATGTTCTCTAGACAGCTTTCCATTTCGGTCAAGAAGAGGCTGAGTTCTGCAGAGAAGGGCACAGACATCCCTCGGCAAACCCAAAACCTGGGCAGCTCAGAGACCCTCTCTCCACCCACACTCACCCCCGAGACTCCCATCCATCTATAGAATCGCCCCTGGGGGAGTTTGCAGTGTTCCCCTCCCCGCGATGGACGCTGCAGATCCAGCGATCGTGTCCCTAGAGGACTTGCCCTGCAGCCACCCAGCGGGCGGGGAACTTGCAGCGGTCACTGGTGAAGCTTATGAATTTTATGGTGGTGACCTGGGCTGCCAAGGCCGCCTGGGCACCCTGGGGGCGGGGGGGGGACAGGAGAGGAACTTGCTAGGCGTTGGAGCACCCCCCTCCCGAGAGAGACTTCAAGAAATTTGCTGAACTTGGAGATGCTGCCAAGAGATCACGGATGTTTGGGCTCAGCTTCCTCGCGCCTGAACGACAGACAACAGCAGCGCGGACGCAGGGCCGAAGAGCAGAAGGGCGGCGTGCTGAGTCATCGCCCTCACATCACAGATCAAAAGGGAAAATATCACTTCAATCATTTGAGAAAGTCTGGCAACACTCAACATCCTTTTTTGATTAGAAAAAGAAGAAACAGCTTCATAAATAATAGGAGGACCCTTCCAAGATGTGAGAGACACAAAAGAGGGGAAAAGAGAGTCCAGGAGGGAAACTTGTTCCAAAGTAACTGAGAAAACCTTGACGAGTGTCTCTGCATAGCAAACAGCAGTTAATAAAACGCATCGTAGACAAACCCGCTCACTCACAACCACCAGTGGCTGGAAAAAAATATAAAAGAGGCCTGCCAGCTCCGTGTGAATAAAGCCATAAAAGTTCACTGAGGGACGATATAGATTTATGAATCACATCATCTTCCGCGTGTTGAGATGACTCTTTTTTTAGGCTGCTGGCTTCCCCTAAATGGCTCCACAAAGTTAACATCATCACAATAAAATTCACAAGATTCACGAGATTTATGGGGGGAGGCGAGGGGGAAAATAAAGGATTTCAGAAGATGAGCCCTGGACCCCTCCCTGTGATTAAATCTACAAGAAAAGCCTGGAAAGTTTTGAATCAGAATCATGAGGAGACTCATGCAGCAGATGTTCACACGATAAAAAAAAAAAAAAAATCAGTAATTAAAGCCATTTGGTAGTAAAAACCAAAATAGAAAAAGACCCATCAACAGAACAGAATGAAAAGTCTGCAAAAAACTCACAAAGAAGATGCTAAAACAATGGCAAAATTTTAGAATTAACGGAAAATACTTGGAACTTAGCTGCCAGATTTGAATCGGGAAGCACGAGCTCGAGGCTGCTCACAGATTCCATGCTTTTCCCACTGTGAGTCCCTCCCCAGCACACCGGCCGTTGCCTATACCCCCATGACCCCTGGCTCCTGACTCTCTGCCCCCAAGTAGCCCAGCAGTCTTGTTCAAATGTTCCCAGCATCCAAACAGCAAGCCCAAAGCCAGAGTCAGAGATGACCAGCGACACCGTCGACCGGCCAGCCCCACGCAGTCTCCATCACGGGACAGCTCAGCTGAGTCGGACCCACCAGAGAACTCAACAAAGATGGTGCCTCACCTCGAGGCAAGGCCCCCACACCTTCTGCCCCCACAGGAAGATGCAGGCATCTCAAGTTTGGCATGAAAGACTCCCAGGCTGGCCCCTGCCGACCCGAGCGCCCCCCTGCACTCAGGAGTCTCCCCAGAACAGCTCGAGCTCTCCCACTTCTCATCCTGGTCAGGCTCGGACCTCAAACTTGGGGTCCAGGGGACCCATGTCACCTCCACTGGCTGCTGCAGATCCTGACCCCACCCCAACACTCAGTCACAATAACCCCCCACTCTGTGCACCATGGCCCTTTATAAAGAGCCTTTCATGCTGATTGTATTACAGTGTCACCTGTTTTATTACAATTCTATATGTAATAGAATTATTTTGATCAATTAGGAAAAGAATAATTTCATTAATGTGTACATATATATGTAGTTATAACACATATCATATTATTATTATATTAATATGTTTATATGCCCATCTCCCTTCTTGACGTCTCTGCCTCCAACTCCTGACTTGTAAATGATAATAATAATAAAGACTTCCCCACCCAAACATGATTAATAACTAAATGAGGGGACACGAGGAAAGTACTGGGTGTGCCTCACAAGGAAAAGCGTCAATGATTATTATAGTAACTGTTAGTATTCTATTAACTACTCTCTGCCTGTTATTTCAATCACTTCCTGTAGACAGTTGCAGCAACACCCAAATCTGTGGGCTGTATCAGGTGATGATGACCTTTATTCTACTTTGCTGCATACTCATAATAAGCACACATTGTTCCTAAGGTTGAAACAACATTTGATTCTTAGAAATAGTCCTAGATGGGGGCTTTGGAGGAGTTCTTTTCCAAAGGGCAGAGGGTGGATTATCTTCAGGAAGTGGCTCCATGTTAGGACGACCCAGAGTCACTTACTGACAAGCACGCTGGCCCGTGATCAGCACCATAAATGTTGAACAATCGCAGGTGTATATGCATCTACTTCCTCTCCTGCTGCATGCCATCCTGACAGCACTCTGCTGGTGCATCAAAATCCCCAGTGTACACTGTGCAGCAGTGCATGAAGCTAGGGTGTGTCTGGTGAGGCTCCGTTGTGTGTGATGAGGCCTCTGATGTGTGTGGTGAGGCCTCTACCTGAGTATTTTGATGTGGAGCCAGACAGGGTCACACTGAGGCTCCAGCTCCAGGGCTGACCGAGGACATCTAGAACAACTGTCAGAACCAGTTTAGCCTGAGGATAGCAAGGGGCCACTGACATGAGCAAAGAATCTTCTGGAAAACTCCCCCAGGGAAGGCATGTTCCCAAGTTGTGATGCTCACTCACTGAATAGGGTGGCAGGGTGGGCGCCATGGCCAGGGCCTCATGGGGAGGAGACCTGTATCCAAGCCTCGAATGGACACTGGCAGGCCAGACCGCATGTGACCAGGGCCACCAAAACTGAGCTGCCAGACTTTCATATCCCGAACCTGACAGTGACAGGCTGGCCCAGGCCCCCGGGCTCGGATTCCATCAGGTCATAAGAAAGACACAGAGGAGGGATCCCCACTGTGCCGTGGTCCTGAAGAAGGGCTCTGGGAACAGCTCCCAGCACATGCCTCGGGCAGGCCCCAGTCCTTTTCCGCTCTTGGTCTCGCCCAGATATACTGAACTAGTTCAAAGATCATGGCGTTGGGGGCCGTCAGCCTCTTTGCTCGGTTTCTGTAGCAAGTATATTAGTGATCGGTTATTGCCAGGAAGTGGACATAAACATTGCAGTTCTGGTCCAGTGATATGACTGGTCACAGGCGTGTGTGGTTTAGCATGGCTGGCTGTAAAGCTTGATGGATGTAAAGCTTGATGGATGTGTCATCACCATGAGCTAGAACCGAAATCATTCCAGTTCTTCCCCACCTGCTTTAACTCGGAGACTGTGCTCCCTTCTCGCCATCACATGGCCACATCCCCCTAGCTCCCCACACACCTCTCTCTGCAGACTCAGACTGGCGACCGCTGGTGGCATGGTGTTGTTCAGCTCCCTGATCCCTGAATCCTGCCCTGGCCACCTGTTCAAGTGGGTCAGAGGATGGCAGGCTCCACCTGTAAGGTCCCCTAGACCAACAACCACCTGATCCCTTGGGCCCAGGCCCCGCATAGAGCACATGATGAGTCTCAGTGATAAGCCCCCGCTTATCTGTTATTCCCCACTGATGCTTCTCAGTAAATGACGTAACACCAGGAACAAAGCGCCTAACCAGTAACTGAATAAGGAACTAACAATGGGAAAGAACCTGTTCTTTCACTCATCAAACAAACCCGGCAAGTGCCAGATGCTGAGACAGACGCAGCGCCCTCTGGAGATTACTGTCCTGAAAGACAGATGGTCAGATCACTATGTACGGATCCCAGGAGCCTCTATGCAAAGTGGGGGGGACATGGGGACCACCTGGGTGAGGGTGATGCTTGGCTCCTTGAAATGATAGTAGGAATGAGGCAGGTGAAGGTCAGGATGGAACAGGCATGACAGAGCAACCCGTTCAGCAACAGATACGTGGGTGGCGGCTGGACGCCAGTCGCCGGGGCTAAGCCTGAAGGTGTGATCAAAGCAGGACACAGATGACCTTGTGGGGAAGTGGAGGAGCCTGAAATTTACCCTGAACACAATGGGGAGAATCTGAACCTTCCAGAAGCTTAAGCAGAACAGTGAATTCACTTCAGAAACTTCACACTAGCCACAGCATTGTGGGACAGGGGAGGACATCTCTGGACACCACAAGACAACCTCATGACTCGCCGCTCAGCCCCTAGGGTGGTGACATTCTCAGGGGCCTGTGTCCTCACCCAATCCTGCACAAGGGAAGCCTCTGGCCGACAAATGGCCCTCCTCTACAATCCTCGTCATTCTTGGAAACTCAGGCTCTATGGGACAACTGTCTTTTTCTTATTTTCTTCCCTAAAATATGCAAGTGATGTGTGATCATCCATCCAAATCAACAAAAGCAGAGCTAACTTTTCTTTTTAAGAGCTGCGTCATAGTCCACAATCTGGCTATAATACGCTTTATTCAGCCATTCCCCTAATGGTAGGCGTCACTCTATGATCCAACGTGTCTTCGTGCACACATCTTCAGGGTAGAGTCCCACATGGGAGAGCGTTGGGTCAAAGGTTTGTGTGTTTTTTCTCTTACAATCTAATTTCTTATCTCTTTCTAAAGAGTAAGAGGCCTTCGCCGTCCCTGCACCCTCCTCAACACAAGGGGCTCCTCCTCCAGGTGTTCGCCCCACATCCCACGTCCCACAAATGTGGGTCCTGAACCACACCTGCTTGTAGTTTTCACAGAGCCTTTCCAGTCCACAGGCTGAAGCTCTTTTTGTTTGGTTTTTGGCCACGTGAACGCCCCTTCTCCAGACTGCCTCGTCCACTCTTCTGCCAGTTTCCTCTCAGGCCATCCTCCTCAATGTGTCCCTTTCTGTGTTTGGAATGCAAAGCCTTTGTTTCTCAGATGCAAATACCCACCCCTTCTATCGTGTGTCATGTGACATCACCGGAGGGACCCTTTGTCTTAAGCATTTGTTTTGTGATAGCAAATGTGTTTATTTCGTCTGTCATGGTTTCTGGGTTTCTGGTTTTTGATGCAGGGTTTCTCTTCCATGCCCCATTGTTGTCAATTTGTCTTTTGTCTCTAGTGTTGTCTGTCTGTGCCGGCATTCCCGGACTTGCAGTGACCACCTCTCTGAAAGGAACAGCATAAGCGAGGGTGTCCCCACTAAAACCACCCAGTGGGTGTTTGAAACCCCCCTAAGAAAGATGACGGTGTGTGGGGGGTGATAAACATGATGTTCTGAGTGTACTAAAGAGAACTGTCAAAGGCAATAAAGATACATTAGCTGCCACCCTATCCTCCCACCTCGCTAGGCGTGAGCCCAGAGGAAATACACTCTCCTCACTCTGCCCTTGTGATTTGTATTTAAACTGAAACATTCAATTAACTTTTCTGAGTCCTTTAAGTCCTCAAACCCATCCCACCAAGTCCCATGGAAAACAAGTCCTAGCAATGCGCTCAAGGGCAAGGCAGCTGCCGCCAGCCACCTTCACGGGGCCTGGAGAGGCCTAGTGGGTGCACACTGTGCAGCCAAGTGTCCTGAGGGCCTTCCAGGAACTTGTCTTCGGTGACAAGTGAACTGACACACAGCTGATATTAGTACTTTGAATTTGGACCCTGTACGGTTCCGCCCCTCCAGGCCTCCAGGCCCCAAAAGACTCCCGACACCAGCGCCTCCCAGGTGGACCTCTGCCGCTCTGCTCCAGCCCCTCCAGCCCCACAGGGCGTGGGGTCCACACAGCAGCCGCCCAGCGAGCTGTGACCAAGCACGTACCCAAACATGGCGACCAGCAGGTTGACCAGCAGGATGTTGGTGGAGAGCATGTAGATGCACACGAGCGGGATGGTGATCCACTCGGGGAAGCGGGGAAGGTTGTGCTCATCCAGCTCCACGCACAGGGGCTTGGACTCATTCCCAGTGAAGGTGCAGTGGGAGAAGTCGTAGGTGGTACCTGCAGATATAGAAAGCCCAGCGTGAGGCATCCCGGGAGGGCTGTCTGGGCACCCCGGGGAGACACTAGACAATGGCCATTGGCCACGCCATGTGTGGATGCTGGTCCACGGCACTGCATCCTAACACACGATAGCTGGGGAATTACCTGCTCGATAGGTATTTATTGAGCAGCTACTGTGAGCGGGGGCCTCAGTGGGATGAGAGCTGAAAGGAAGGGCAAGGTAGACATGGTCACTGTCCTCAAGAAGCTTCCAGTATCTTTGGGTAGGAAGACAATCAACCACACAAGTGTATGATTTCAGCACCTGAGAAGCACTAAGGATACACACAGTCTGTGCGCCATGGGCAGAAGCTGAAGTTAATCCAGGAACAGCTTCCCCAGAAGGAAACTGAAAAAAAAAAAAAAATGAGAAGTGGGGCAAGATGGTGCCCAGCCATCCAGAGAAGGAACAGCACATGCAAAGGCCCCGTGGTAGGAGGATAGGAAACATCTGTGGCGTATAAGGTGAGTGGTAACCACATGCTAATTTTTTTTATCTTTTTATTAAAACCAGTGGGTATGGGGGTAGACTGTTTCCAGCAGAAGAATGCCACAGCAGAGCCTCTTTATGGAAAGATCGCTCTGGCCACAGCACAGGTCACAAGGAGCCAGAGGGGGCACCATGTGGAGGCTACAATGCAGAGCCACGGAGATGGCAGCACCCTAAGCGCCCGCTGACAGAGGACGGGACCAAGATGCTGTGTCCACACCACAGGATGCTGCTCGGTCACAAAGCAAGATGGAAGGTTGCCGATGACACCAAAATGGAGGAAGTTCAAGAGAATTATACACAGGAAGACAAGTCAGAATGACAAATATTGAACATTTTCACAGCCGATAATTTGATAAAGTAAAATACTGAGAAAAACTAGGGGACATTGTAAGCACCATGAGGGCTCTGTGGTCGAGAGGAAGGGGTGGGGTGTCAGGCACGGTGTGGGCGGGAATTCTAAAAATAAACAAGTAAACAGCACGCAATTCCCAGAGTGGAGGGTCTGGGAAGAAATGGAGCCCAGAGGATGGCGTCTCCGGCCAGGGGAAGGCAGGGGTGTAAGTGCCTGCCCTGGGCTTACCTGGGCGGCTGACGTGCACCTGGTTTCTCTGACACAGGACAGAGCGCACACGAGTCAGCGCCTCCCAGGGCACACGGCGCCTTCCTGCACCGCCTGCCACAACTCAGGCCTCGGGAGCTGCTCCTGTGGGACTAACATGGCTCCATGCCGGGCTGCCATGGGGCGAAGGCACCCCCTGCACAAGGGCAGGCCCGCAGGCCGGAGCGGTAAGGACCAGGTGCCACCCAAGGCTGCGGCAGAGGCGCTGTCTCTACAATGGTGGGAGAAGCTGCAGCAGGAGCACCAGGGGGACCGCAGAAGATGGGAGAACGATCCAGAAAACACTAGGGAGCTGACGAATGGTCCCACGGGGCAGAGAAAACACTGTGATCATTTTCTCGAGGCAGGATAGGACACACAGCCCAGGACACCCTCCGTATCATAAAGATGCTGCGGTTGCTCACTTGAGAACACACAGTCTGCACACGCCCCACCTTCCTCCTGGAAACTGGGCAAGGGCAGATGAACCCCACCTGTGCCCCAGGAGCTGCGTCTGAAAGCACAGGTGGTGGCCACCCCCGGGATTGTAAGTTCCAGGTTCCGGTGGAAAATCCTCAGTAATGCTCTTTTTTAACAAGCGCACACCGAGTGCACATAGGACAGGGCCTACTCTGTCCACAGCTTGTTGCTGTTGAAAAGATGAGAAACATTAAAAAGCTTCCAAAACTGCAGGCTGCAGGCTGGCATGGCAGGGCAGGCGGAAAACCCTGCTCGGGAGTGAAGGAAAGGTTTGGAGGGGGTGTGTTTGCTCCCTGGGACCCCGGGGTCACCCGCGGGACAGAGCAGGGACCCTGGGGGCTGGTCCTAGACTACGTCCTCCTGCGCTGCCTCCACCCAGGGCCACGCCAGGCTTACTGTCCACGTCGCTGGGCACCTGGCCGAACATGGCTAGGTAGGGCTCGTAGATGACCGAGCGGAAAATCCACGTCCAGCGATGCTCGTTCTGCCGGAGGATGCCCTGCCGGGCCACGCCGAAGGCCACCATCCACACGGCGAACAGGAACAGGAAGAAGAAGACGTCGATCAGCTGTGCAGGGGACACCAGGCGGGGTCAGCTCTGCGCCGGGCTGGCCGGAGACGGCGGGGTCGGGCAGGGCCAGAGTCACCCGCACTCGTGGGCTGATTCTTAATAAGGCCATCACCAGCCCCCGGGTCTACGCTCCATCTTCCAGAATTAAGACTGGCGGGCACTCCTGCTTGCAGGCCCCAGGCCAGCGCAGCAACCTCGGGAGGACGCCTCACCACAAGGTCTGCCTGCCTGGGAGCGAGGAAGGGCAGTCCTGGAAGGACTCACAGGAGGGCACCCCACTCCCCGGTCAGGATGCCCACTCCAAAGCCTGAGATTATTTCCTTCTCTCTTTTTTAAGGAAAATAGGAGCTTAGTAGACGCGAGGGCAGAGTCTGACTTGTTTGGATTTTGCATGACTTCACGGGACCTGTGCCTCAACATGCTTTGAATGAAAAGCACACGCGTGGCACGGGCCGCCCCCGAGCGCGTCCACATGCGGCTGACGCAGACGCGGCGCTGGGGTTGGCCGTCTGGAAAGTGAGCTGAGGAAAGCCACGTTGTCCACGTGTAACCATCTTTCTGTTAAACGCCTCTACAACACAGTGGGGAAGTGTCTCCCGTCACCGCGTTGAGGCTACAAGGTTGACACCCCCCCAATCCTCGTCTGCTCCTGGCTCCCCGGAGTCTCTAGAAAAGCACTGACCCCCTTGGGCCTGACTGTCCTCATCTCAGAAACGGGCCTGACGCCCCTCTCCTGCCCCGCTCGGAGTGGGCTGTTAGGACTCAGGGGAAAGCCCCAGCGCAGGGCAAACTCTGAGTGGGCTGATAAGGGCCTTTATTACACGGGTTCTTATCAGCGGGCCCCGAGTTACTGCCGGCGCCTCGCGGTCATCCTGCGTCAAATGTTAACCTGGGAGAGGCCCCTGATGGAAGCACAGCTAGGAAAGCAAACCTCGCTGATTGTGCAACGCAACCGTCCATCCGCCTCAGGCCTGCGCGCGCGGGGAGGGGCCGGGGCAGAAGCGCGCGGCTCAGCGCCCGTGTCCTTACCATCCTCTGCAGCATTATAATCTTGGGGCCCAGGTTTCTGCTCACAGTGAAGATGTGGATGAGCCTCAGCGTGAATATAATGTAATCCAAGCAAAAGATGACGCGTCCGGAATACAAGGAGGTTTTGTCAGAATGGCGGAGCCTATGCGAAGAAAGGAAGCAGCAGGCGTGAGCTGTGGCCAGAGGCTTTCAAAGTTTCTTGTTTTAAAAATCACCAGTGTGAAGAAACAGAGAGCTGAGGACCCGAGCGTGAGCGGACCAGGCAGGGAGACATCCCACCCCTGCATCGTTGATGGTCGAAGGTCATGGATGTCTGCCCTCGTGGTCTCGGGGAGAGACAAGCAAGTCACACAAAACTGAGCTTTCGGGGGCTCCCTCTGCTTTCCCTCAAACGCTATGCGGGGACCCAATCCCAGTCTCGAAACGTCCTGGCTCACGATTCTGAAATGACCCTGGTCCCGCTGGGAGCTTGACCACTCCAGGAGGCCCATCACTTACCTGGCTCACACCAGCTCAGCAGATGAACTAGCCACCTGCTAAGGTGCTAACTGAAGCCAGATGCACTGCCTGCCTGGAATGCTCTGGAAGGCCAGCCCACTCTGAATCAGAGGCTGGGCTTTAACCCAAGCAGAAAAGGGGGCAATCGAGGAGGGAACGGAGTCCTACAACCTTCCAGCCATAAGGGAGCACTCACTGAGAACCACCCCATCCCCAGGAGATACAGTCCTGGACCTCCGGGCCTCTGCCAAGGAACTGGGCTCACCAGAACCCCTGCCTCACCCCAGAGCCACGTGGGGAGGCGGCTGTGAGCACGCAGAGCTATGAGGCATCAGTCCGGGCCTGGGGCTTGCCTCAGTTTCTCTATCACCTGGTCTGCATGTCCCCTTTCACCTCAGCTGTGACTCAGATGGCCTTTTCTAGTGAGTCACATAGAACCTGGGGTGGAGGGGCTCGAAACTGGGAGGGCAGGCTCCAAGCCGCACCATGTGTGAGTTAAGGTATTTGAGGAGGTCACAAGGCCCAAGATGAAGTACAATGCAATATTAAACACTACCATCCCCCAGGCAGGGGACCAGCAGGCATGGGGTGGGATTCTAGAACCGGTGGCAATCACTGGAAACCTTTGACAGGACGCTTTTGACATTGAAGGGAAATGCACGTCCGTCTCCCGCCACGGCCTGTGCACAGACTTTTCAGAGACGTCCCCTGTCCTCTCTCTCTCTCCTGGCTCAGTGCTGGGGCTCCCTGCTAGTGCTGGCTCAGCTGGGGGGTCTGCGTGAGGGTCGGATCCCTGGGGGGGAGTGGGCTGGGGAGGGTGTGCACGGTCCTGCATGTTGTGTTTTGTGCACTGTGTTTTGATTCTTGCCTGTTTCTGTCTATTTTACATGAGCATCATGTTCCTGTTTGAAGAAACAAAGAAAACTTCGGTTTGTTAAAAAAGAGAAACACCCTCGTCCTTCTGTACTCACCTTGATTGCTTGATCTCCCCCAGGTCTACAAGGACGCACAAAGGGGAACACCATGAAGACCCGCTTCTCGATGGCAGGTCACAACACTTCTCGAGGGGTCACCACCCTCGGCCAGCCCAGCTGGGCCTCTAAGAGGCAGGGTCCACATGGCTTTTGTGGCCGTTTCTCAGGGGGAGGGAGGGGCTTCTCTTGGACTAGAAACATCAAAGGTCTTTTCTTCACTCTTTCGCCCAAGCATCCCCAGACACCTGAGCCCGGGGGAGGGGGTTGAGGACCACTTACCGGAACACGATGCCCGCGATGAAGTAGAAAAGCCCAAGCGTGTCCATCACGTTCCACAGGTCGGTGAAGTAGTTCACCCCGTTCATGTACCACTGCAGCACAGAGGGCGGGGGGCCGTGAGCCGCTGCACGCCGCGGCAGCACCACCGGGCTGTTTAATGCTCACACGTTTCTTTGTGGATCCATTTTGAGCAAGGATGGGCAAGTGAGCCCCACCCAGGCGGCCCCAGGGAGAAGGGAAAGCAGCCTCACGCTGCCCTTGTTATTGTGTGTTGCTGACAAAACCAAGAGAAAGGGTTCGTGTCTCCTGACTGTTCTTTAAAGGTGCAGCCGCAGAGAGAGGGCCATCGAGGGGGCCGTATGGCCCCCAGGCCGCCGTGTGCGGTGGTGCAGGCTGCGCACTGCACAACGCTGGAGGGTGATAGCCACACTGATGCCATCACAGATTTGTGCATCCATTGAAAAATCTTTCCAGTAGATGGCAGTGAAACATTTCAACAAAAAGGACCTGTTTTTCTGTTTTCAAATGGCCCATAGGTGCTGTATGCGGCACCTGTGAGGACAGACGGGGTCACAGAAACGACTGGCCGGAATGGCAAGCCTCCGTGATGGCGTCCCCTTGCTCTGTACGTATCCGTCGCACAAAGAATGGGAAGAAAGCGAGTCAGGATTTCCTGAGCTGTTCCTGACCAGCTTCTCTGGAACATCTACTAGATCTGGGCGACACGGGGTGGGGGGGATGGTGGCTCATCCACCCCTAATTGCACATCCTCTCAAAACGCATGTGCGGAGAGCCGGGACACCACAAGCCCGGGCGATGCGGGTTCTCCAGGGACCCAAGGACCATGGAGAGAGACTGTGTGTGTGGAAGATGAAGCCTGACAAGGGCTGGGGGAGTCAGACGAAGCACACCCGAGGGCAGGTGAGGAGGCCTCCAGGCTAACTCGTGAAAGACAGGAGGGTGAGGACGAAGAACCAGTAGGAACGTGGCGCTGCCCAGCTCCACTAACTGACCTCACCGGCCTGACTCCCTCCGGCCAGTCGTCGGACGCTACATGACGTAACATTTCCTAGCTTGGTATTTCCTGAAGCCAAGGCTTGGGGGTGAAAAACTGCCCAAGGACCAGGTCTCAGGTTTCTGACTCTTCACTCTCGCGCCATCAAACATGATACACCAGGACTGTATTTTATACTCAGATCCTGCAGAGCTCCTCCGATCTGCGATGCGGAAGGGATTCCCGAAGGATGATGGGTTTTTCAAGAAGCATTTCCTTTCACCCACTAGCAAAAGCCAGCAGCAACCAGGACAGAGTGGGGGCGCCAGTGCGAGGCCAAGCACCACCCCCAGGCTGATGCGCCTCCCTTCCAATCCGCTGAACCCAAAGGCAGTCAAGGTCAGTCCACTTGGGTGGTCCCTGGGATGCTGACCACCACCCCGCGGGAGCCATTTGCAAGAAGAAGAGGTCAGGACCCAACTGCCTGCCGGCCGTCCCCCCTTTGAAGCCCCGTGGGGAGGCCCAGCCCAGCTTGCTCTTTGCTCACAAAACTTCCAGAAGCCTGACCCCCGTGATGGGAGGACTCGAAATCGATTAATTCTGAGTTTCAGAGGCCCCACAGCAGTGAGCCAACACTTTCCTAATGAATAGGGGCCTCTTTTCTGAATGGAAGCCCCAGGATGGGCTAAGTCATAATATACCAAGACCGTATTTCATCAGCTCTCTCAGCCACGGGGGCCCAAGGGTCCTGCATACTGAACAGCGCTCTCCGTGAAAGAGACGCAACGTATTTGAAATAAGCATCCGCACTCTGTCTACTGGACCGAGGAGTTTTTAACAATTATATTTGCACATATTGACTGCCTGGGTTAAAAATGCCAATTCAGCAAACCAGCATCTGCCCCCGGGCGAGGGGCCTTAGGGACACGCGGAGGAAGACCCTCCTCGACACCGGGACACAGCGTAGACAGGGGACGTGCTAGCTGGATTTGGCAAGTGCCAATGGGGTTAATGAGGTCAGCACCAGCCGCAGAATTGATCTTTCCCGGGAGCCAAAGGGAGGACGCCAGAGGCGCCTGTCTGCGCACAAGAAGGGGAACAGCGACCCCAAGTGTCAAATTCTTGTCATGACAAGGACCTCTGAGACCGCGTTCTGCGCTGGCTCATGGAACAGAACCTAACCCAGCCCGAACCCTAACCCTAGCCCTCACCCTAACTCTAACTCAAACCCTAACCCTAACCCTAATCTTAAACTTGAGTTCACCCACACCCCAAGCCCATCTCTCCCCCTGACCCTAGTCCTGGTGTGACTTAATACCCACCTAAACCAAGCAATGCAAGCTTGCCCTCACACGTGCCTTTGAAAGGTGGCCAGCCCACCCTGCAGGGGAGGGGAGAGAGGGTGCAGAGGCCAGACACGACCAGTTTAGGAGAAAGGGACGTGTAGGACCCCATGCGGGCCCAGCCCCTGAGACACGCCCAGGGAGGCGCCATGAAAACAGTTGTGCTCCCTCTCTTTCTCAGGAGAGGGGCCCATCCTGGTTTAAAGGTTGACAGCCTGCTGCCTTTCTCTGCTTCCCAGGATATTCTCACCCGTGGCTGCTGACATGCAGTGGGGAGAGAGAGAGAGAGAGAGAGAAAGAGAGAACTAGCAAGTAAAAAAATAGCAGCTGTAGAGGGCCTACAGGTAGAATTGTGTCCCCCCCAAACTTGACACTGAAGTCCTAAACCCCATGGACCTCAGAATGTGACCTTGCTTGGAAATGAGGTCATTGCTGATGTAACTAGTCAAGATGAGGTGACACCGGAGTAGAGGGCCCTGATCCAACGTGACTAGTGTCCGTACAAGAAGAAGAAAAGACATGCACATGGAAGAGTACCACGTGGGCATGAGGACAGGGGGAGCGACGCACCTATGAGCTGAAGCAAAGATCACTGGCACGGCCCCAGAAGCTGGGGAGAGTCTGGAACAGGGTTCCCTTCCCAGCCTCAGAAGCATCCAGATCTACCAGCGCCTTATCTTGGACTTCAGTCTCCATGAGACAATGAACTTCTGTTGTTAAGCCCCCCAGCTGGAGATGTTTTGTTTGGGAGCCCTAGCAAACCCATCCAGAAGAATCCAGCCAACCAATCCAGAAGATTCAAGCAAATTCATCCAGAGGAACCCAGTAAATTAACACAGAAGAATCCAGCAAATTAATCTAGAGGAATCCAGCAAACTAACCCAGCAGAATCCATCAAGCTAATGGCCTGGCAGATTGTGAGCCAGAGCAGGGCCATTGGTTCTATGATCTGGAGTCACAGAAATTCTCAAATGTCAACAGGACTCTGCCCGGGAAAGAGTTGCTGATGGACAGAAATTGTGATCATGGTCTACCTTCAACACTGACTCGCGTCATCTGTCCTATTCTCCCCCACCCCTGGCGGGACCTCCCCTCTCCTAGGCAAAGGAAGTAGATTCAGGGCTCTGGGGCCAGGACGCCTCCGGCCCCTCACACTCGGGGCCGGCATCACTAATCGATCAAGACTCCCTCCTACAGACAGCAGGCAGCGCCTCGGAATCTCTCTCAACCTAGGCTTGCCACACACGGGCTACCAGAATCAGCACGATGTTGAGACCAGCTTAGGATTCCTATACTTGGCAGTGGCTCTCTGAGGTCAAGAAGGGCATTCCCTGCTCCTGGAGCCTCCCGGTGCCCTGGGCACAGGCCTCACGAGCTGCCAGCCCAGCGCATGATGGAAGTGCTGCGCTGGTGGTTTGGGCTCATGAGGGAAGCAGCAGGACAGCCACAGTAGTTCTCAAGAAAGCCGTGACCCACCAAGTCAGAGACCACTCCCGGGGCGACTTTCCCTCACAGCTTAGGGACAGCACTGCCTTCGCCCACAGTTGTTCAACGACTCACGGCACAAGCTCCCTTGCTGGGGCTAGAGCGCTGGTTCAGTAGTGGGGGAGGACATTTTAAAATGCAGACACTAAGAAACTGCAGAAAAACACCATGGATAATTCACACCGACTCCCTGCAGTCCATAGGGACACCAACGACTTCCCAACGCTGTCACTGACGGGCGGGCACCACGGTGCTCTCAGCGCCCAAGTCCTCCCAACTCCCTGGCCCTTGTGGCTCCTCTCCCTGGGTGTGGCGATGGCAGGAACCAGGCCTGAGCACTGGGCAGATGTGCAGCTGAGGTCTGCTGCTCTCTGGATACACACCCCCAGTAGCTCACCCAGCAGTGAACAGAATTAGGAGCCAGCCAGCGCAAGCCTGGTGCCCAGGGGGCTCTCACTCAGCTGGGATGCCCACTTCATGGCGTCTGCCTGGAGGGAACCAATGGCCACACTTCAAGAGCCGCTTCTGCTCCTCCTTGGCTTCAGGAGGATGCTGGCCTCGGAGGGGGCGGGGAGGCACCATGCTGGGGGGGACCCACCTGTCTCACTTCGTCACAGAACAGGACGAAGACCAGCACATAGAGGACCAGCTCGGGCGGGTGCGGCACGGCGTGGAAGTCCATGAGTAGCACGTAGGCGAAGAGCAGCAGGAAGGCGATGTAGAAGACCACGTTCCAGGAGAAGACCACGAACGGGGAGGTGAAGAAGGCCACGTAGTACCACAGGAGCTTCTTGTGCTTGTCCACGGGCTTCTTCCTGCCCCAAGAGCAGAGAGCCCCATGGCCGACCTTGCCAGCGGCACTCAAGGGGGCAGCGCCTCCTTAGCAGACCTAACAGGGCCCCACCCGGGGGGATGGTGAGATGGGGGTGGTCCAGGCAGCCCAACATAGCCTTCGGCGTTTTGATCCACAGATGGGAATTCTGGGTTTTTTTTTTAAGATTTATTTATTTTTATATGAGAACCGAGGTACTGGCCAGATGTGCAGGAAGGTGAGAGGATTCACCAGAGACAGAGTGGGGAACAGAACAGCCAGACTGACGAAATACACTGCTGAAGGGAGCAGCGGGCGCGACAGGGGAGGTCTGCTGTGCCATGTGGGACCCTCACCAGCCAGCGCAGATCAAACCGGAGCTGCAGAGGCTGCGGACAGCTTCACAGCACTGTGCTCAACTGCTTGTGCCACCAGAGAGGCCCCATAGATGGGAATTCTGTCCTGATAATGAGGGTACACCCCCACCTCTACCTGTCGGCAATCGAATCCTCGGGGAGCCAGAGGAGAGCCCAGACCTGATGTGTGGGCACAGAGCCAACCAACTGCGCCCCAGGTCTAGAGTAATTTACGTGGGAGTACCCAGATGTGTGCACACACACAGGGGCAAGTGCACACACATGTACACACAGATGTGTGCACACACTGGGGTGCATGCACACACCGACGTGTGCACAAACAGGGATGTGTGTACACACATGCACACACAGGGGCACATGTACACATCACATACAGATGTTTATGCACACACAGGGGGGTATGCACACAGGGGCATGTGCACACACATGCACACACTGATGCATGCACACACACAGGGGCACATGCACACACAGATGTGTGCGCACACAAGGGTGCATGTACACACATGCACATACATGGCTCTGTGTATACACACATACATAGGATGATGTACACACACATAAACACATAGGGATATGTGCACACACTTGCACACCAGTATGTGCCTCAGTTTCATACCTAAATGACACAAAGCCGCAGCCCACCAAAGGAATGATAAACAGACACAGGATGATCTTCCAGTTCTTGGTGTCTCGGGAAATCTCTCCATACCATTGCTTGGAAAGAAAATTCTATGGAAAACAGAGACAAAGGACAATGAATTTCGGGAGGGAGTGCTGCCTTTCTTCCCAGCCCTCGCACCTCCCCAAATAAGGAATTCTCTGAATAAAGGTCCTCTATTTAGATTCATTCCCTGGACCTGAGGGGCTTTGATAAAACTTAAAATTCCACACATCTGGAAAACAGATTTTTCCATGCGCGCTGATGAACCGCATCTGGATGACACCCCAGGCCTGGTGAACGTGGGCAGGAGCCTTGGAAGCCTCCCCGCACCCAGAGCTCAGGGAGACCAGCCGATGGGCTGAGGGGCCTAAGAAGCTGTGAGCAGAGCTTGGCACCTAGACTCCCAGCCATCCCATCCCAGGCCACCTCACTCCATCCTGCCACCGTGCAGAGGCCAACACAGAGCACAGCGAGGCCCAGGCGCCCTAGCCCGGGATGGCCATCCCTCCCAGCCAGCTGAGCTACAGCATCAAACAGTGTTTTCATAAGCACTGGGCTAATTATTGGCTGCACAGGATGACAGGGAAGTCCCTGTGACGGGCAGCCATAGTGAGATCAGTTACCAGCACTGCTGCTTCCTAACAATGCACCCTGAGGAACGTTCCAGAACCTGCATGAGCTCCAGAGTCCTCCTCGTGAGCTGAGAAGAGGAAATGTGACTACCTCATAAAGGGTGTGGCCACCCATGGCGGGCACCTGCCCCTCTCGCTCCAACCCCAACATCCTTCATATCCAGATGCCCCCACCTCCAGCTGGGGTCACGGTGGAGATCTCCCCGCAAGGTCCTGAAATGCCATGGAGTCACCTAACTCTGCAGAAAATCCCTGCCCGGCCTGGCCCATTCCTGCGGTTTCTCAAGGTTCTTGCTGCTGCAGTAACTGCAACAGGAAGAGCTGATGGGAGGGCAGGCACCTCTCCTTACGCTGAGTCCTACAGCAACCCCTGCGGCCCCACATGCCCCATGCAGCTGAGGAAGCCAAGGTTGGCACTCACGTGGGATGAGGCCCACAGGATAGGGCAATGGAGACGGGGCGGAGACCCCACCAGGGGCCAGAGACCCAGCGCATCACTGCACGCAGGACTGCTTACTTGGCAGAAACTCAAAGAACATTCTTTCTCCTGCACTGTCTCCTAAAGCCGTCTCTGCCCAGGCCTACAGGCCGCCACCCCTGTGACCTCACCCGCGTCCCCTGCGGGCGCGTCCCAAAGAGGCGTGTTTCTGGTATCGGAGCACTCGGTGCTGGGCAGCCACTGTGTCCCGGCTGGCCTGGCGTGCGGGCGGCGCTGTTACCTGCACCCCGGGCTGGGCGATGAAGTGCTGGTCCGTTGCCTCCACCGCCAGCTCCAGGCAGTTGCTGCCGCCCCAGGCCTCGCAGGAGTAGACCAGCAGCTGCTCCGCCAGGTCCTCGTCATTGCTGTAGCACTCGGTGAACAGCTCTGCGGGCGCCAGAGAGGGGCGGAGGAGGCACTGGCACCGGCGCCCAGGCCGGCCCACGCCGAGGCCTTGAAGGCTGAGCCAGAGCTGAGCACTGGGGGGGGAGGGGGAGGAGGGGGCTGCACAGTGGACTGAGGTGGAGGACTATGGGCACTTTGGGGGCAGGAGACCTTCGGGGACTGCAGGGGACCGCAGCGGGGGGAGCCCACAGTATTAACAAGAATGTAACACGGTGGTACTTCACCACCCAAGAAAATATATATATAAATGAAATATTAAAAATCTCATGTACAATCATTGAATTCACTAACATAAGCCTTGACTATTTTGACCATTATTTGCATGTTGATATTTTCTAGCATTGCCCACCCCAGAGGCCCTCGGCCTCAGCTGCAGCCTCAATCAGGCCAGGGGGAAGCCCAGACATGCCACTGACCCCTGCCACCCAGCCTGTGCACCCCCTGACCCACCTGTGCCCGCGTGGGGTTCCCTCCCAGGAAACTCACCAACGGCACGAGTCTCGTATTCATTTGCCAGCTCCTCGGACTCCCCGGCAGCGTTGATGTCATTCTTCACCTTGGCCAGCGTCTTCAGGAGCTTGCTGGCCCCCAGGGCAGCCAGCGTGCAGCCCTTGGTCTTTCAGAGGGGTGCAGAATGTCAAGGTCAATGAGTCGTCCTTGAAGCGGTCGCATCAGCATTAATGTCAGTCAAGGACAAATTCATGGTGAAAGCAGGAAATGGTCAAGTCTGAGCAGCGCACAAAGATTCAGAGCAAAGTCTGCAGTACACCCCAGCCGTCTTGGACCCGAACGTACGCACACACAGGCTTGGACATGGAATCAGCTTATTAAAGGGGATCATCAAGACACATGCCAGGAGAAACAGACAGCAACGCAGGGAGCCCAGGACTCGGGGCCGGGGGTGGGTGCCAGGGGGGAGGCCTGGCAGCCAGTCGGTGAGGCCGGGTGTGCCAACTCCATATCCAGCATCCAACCTTATGCTCTAAAAATGGCAAATGTCACCTCCTTTGGACCCACATAGATCACTGACAAAACCATTATGTGATGATTCACATGAAAAAATCTCAGTAAGAATTTTGGACAAGCCCTACTGTCTGTTCATGTGCAACAGAGCCAGGTAGTCATTGTTTTTAATGAAACACAGAAACCCCATCCACCTGGCAAATGATCACACACCTGAGAAGCAGGTACCTACTGGTGCCTACAGGTGCACACCAGGCAGCCACCTTCCAGGGAATCCCACCCAAACACACCTGTGTTGGTGTGGAGGCAGAGGAGCAGCCACGTCTGGCTGTCCCAGGCCTTCCATTTTATCTGGGGTGTGTCAGGGGAGGTGTCAGTCTTGAGAAGGTCGCAACTCCTGCAACAAGGCGACACTGGGCCGCTTACCTGCTCCCAGATGACCTTGGAGAGCTCCCTCTTGTTCTGAAGGACAGCCCAGATGAAGAGGGCTTGCAGGGGGTGCCGGGTAATCGGGGATACGTCCTGGGGGCAGGAAGAGACTGTGGTCAGCGCGTGCCAGGGAGCCATATTTTCGGAATGAAAATGGGGTTCAAGATGCCCTGGGCGAGCACCGCATGGTCACAGGACTCAGCAACTTGGGGTCTGATCCATTTTAACAACACAGTGAAGTGATTTTTATGTCTGCGACTCACCAGGTGGTACAATCTGACACAAAATCTTTCATCTGCCATAAAAGACAACGTCCTATTAGATGGAGCGATATAAAGGGTGAAAAACGTGCTGATAGCAATTTAAAAACTGAATGCCTTCCAACAGGCCAAAGAGAAAACTATCTCTTCTCATCACAAAAACCGAGTCTCATCTGGAAAAATCGTACAGCCCCAATTCTCACTTTCTTGCAGATTAAGTTCAGTGAGCACAACACACGTCTGGGCCTATTTCTTTGGAGTGTCACTTGAAGCTTCAATCAATTAGAGTCCAGCTCCCAGTCCACATCCCATAGCCTCCAGGGGAAGCTTCTCAGATAGAAAAGAATTCAACGTATACATTCCTTTTAAATGTCAACAGCGTTTACCAAGCTCCAACTGCTTCAGGCATAGTTCTGGATACTGCCAGGGTTTTAACATAAATAGTGTCAGGCAGAAGTTTTCGAAACACTTCCAATCCCTTTCCGCATCTAGCTGATTGAGATTTTTGCAACGTGCGTGCACACTCACACACACACACACACACACACACACACACACACACTGTAAATCACATATTGATGAAAGACCATGAGCTAGTTTGAAGCAATCCCGAGTCAAGGATTCAAGGCAAGCAGTTCTAGTGAGAGGTGATCCCACAAAAGCCACTAGAAAAGAGAGGGAATGAGACCCCAAAAGAGAGAGCCCAGAAAGGGGCCGCATCAGCGATTGTCACGGTGGGTGACTGGAGCTTAACACAACCCTCTGCAGCCCAGGAGAGAACAGAAACCTCGGAACCATCTCCTCAAGAGGGAGGCAGCTGGGGTGTGTATTCGCAGACTCCAGCCGTCGGGGATCTGAGCCAAGACGAGGTTAGCAGGGCTGCAAATACGTGCGACTGGGCCCTGGGCGAGCCTAGACTCAGCCGAGGGCCTGAGATCCAGGCACTGTAGCTACATCTTCTCAAATGCAAACCTGGATTCTCCTTTGGAAACACTCACTGCCCTTCTGAGCCTCAAAAGCCTGGCACTTCTCTGTGCTTTGCCCGACAGCAGAGAACAACACTCGGCAGGCCATGTGCAAAAGGCTAAGACGTGAGCCGTTCCTCTGTCCCTGTCCGATGCCTTCAGGAAGCTTTACAGTTAACACAAAACTAGTCTGAATGATCGTCAGAGCACAAAGCAAGACATCAGGAAAGCCCCTGGGTAGGCCTCTCACCGTGTGTAAGGAAAGGCAGCAGGAAAATTTAACCAACGTCTTAGCTCCTTTACAGCAACAAGGTAGGGGCAGGGCGAGATGGAGGCAGAGATATGTTTTGAAAGCGCCCGCAAAAGACCAGGGAGTTTAGGGGGACAGCTATCCCGGTACCTACGTGAAATTCTATGTCCAAGTCTTCCCTGCTGCTTCTGTCTTCCTTCCGGAAGCCCCTGCGGAAGTTCGCCACCAGCTTCCAGACGAAGGTGAGCAGGGCGTCGTTGTAGGAGTTCTTGGCGATCTGCAGGTTCCGGTACACCAGGGTGCTGAAGTGGTTGGAGAAGAGCTCCGTGAGGACGTCGTTGGTGAGGAACTTGCGCAGGTTCAAGCCGTTCTCCAGGAAGAGGCGGACGAACTTGGGCCGGTCCTTGATGAGAGCCATGAACATGACCTCCTGGAGGTCAGCGGACTAGGGAGAAAGAGCAGAGAGAGGACTCACCCGAGGCCGGCGCAGCAAGCACAGGTGTTTCCCTCTCAGCTACATCACATCCGCACCCCAGCCCCAAGACAACAGCATCTTCAGCTGCTCCTTCGGTTCTGCTTCGAAAGAAAATGTCTTTCCCTGGGGTGTGGGATTGTAGGTCAAACTTCTAGGTGGCAGAAGCAACCTGGTAGACTCTTTGAAGCTGGTCGGATGTGGGCTTGGGCGTGACGGGCTCTCCTGCTACTCATCCGTGTGGGATGACCCGCGCCGCGCGGAGAATCACGTGCGGGAGGCCTGCTGCCCGCGCCCGCTCTCGAGGCCTGCAGCAGGCACCGATGTGAACCAGGCCCCGGCCAACTCTCCCCTCTGTGCCACAGGCCCCTGCTGCCCTCAGGCCACATGCCACCAAGCAGATGCCAGGTTGTGTTACTTGACATTCCCGGGACCTTCCGCCCCAGTTATTGTTCACCTTCATCTCCTTTCTAGGCTCCCAATAAAACATATCCGTAGAAGCTTATTGAGAATTTGAATAAAATCAAGTGTCCTGCAGACACCGTCTGGCGTCCATGCGGCAGCCTACAGACCCCGCCTGCTCTAGGATACGTTCTAAACAGAGCTCCTTGCAAGCGACGCCGACAGCCTGTTACAGCGCTCACAATACGCTTCAGTGGCCAACATGGATGAAGTTCATAAAATCAACATTTCCAGCATTAAAATCCAGATTTAAACGAAAACCAGCTGTTCTGACAACACAAAGAAGCGTCAGCGGGAACCAAGAGGCAGCGGCTCTGGGGCCCAACTGTCCAGCCCCCAGTGTCCCTGCACTCCCCCGGCTGCCCACCGGGCCTGGTTCCAGAGCATGTGCCCTCCAGGACAGCGGCAGCACTTTCTAGCGAGGCTCATGGGCTCACACAACCGCCTAGAGAGGGAATTGTCAAGGCTGCCTTGAGTTCCCACCCAGGGCTTCCAGGTGAGCAAGGGAGGGGACGAGGTGGCTGTCCTGGAAGGGGGCACCTTCTCCTCAGTCCCAAAGGCAAGGGTCTTGTGCCCAGAGCTCCACATTTCCTTCTAAATCTTTTTGCCTTTCAGACCTCCCTGGTGGCGCAAGGGGTTAAGCACCGCACTATGAAGCAAACCGAAGCTTCTGCAGCACGAGTTCAATCCCCGGCAGGCCAGGGAGAAACCCACATGGCGCAGCAGACCTCTCCTGTCTCCCCGCTGCTCCCCTCAGCAGTGTATTTCATCGATCTGCCTGTTCTGTTCCCCACTCAGTCTCTGGTAGATCCTCTTGTCCCCCACATCTCTGGCCTGTGCCCCAGCTCTTGTATGCATAAATAAATAAATCTTTAAAAATAAATAAATAAATAAATAATTTCTTTGAATCTAGTAAATAATTTATTTAAATCTAATAAATAATTTATCTGCATCTAATCATAAATGCAGTAAAATAATTAGAAAGTCATGATTCTTGCTTATTATCTGTTTTTAATCAATTAGATTTAGTTCTAAGTCTAAATAATTTAATTTTAAGTAATGACTGTATTTCACAACATCTTTAAATGTCACTGTTAGCTCTCCCTACAACCAGATGAGGAATGGAGGCAGAGAAAGCTTAGGTAGGTTGTCAAGGTTAAATCACACGCAGGGGCTGACCTGACTCCAGACTCTTAACCATTCTGCCCTCACCCTTAACTCTCTCTAGCTGAGTTCATAAAATTAAGTGCATGTTCAATATGTGCCTGAGATCACGTCGATTTGCACCGTCTGACCTCACTTAGATAGAGCACTTCGCACAGGGATTCACTTACGAATCAATTAGCGAGATCTACTTGTAATTCTACTTCCCCACTGCAGGCTCGCCTGTGTAATCGGGCTCATTACACTGCAAAGACCAAATACAAGTCAGTATTTGCTAAAGGAATGAATAATTTAAAAATCCATCCGCCATTACTTTATTTGCCTCTATTATTAAAACTGATCCCATGTGAACAGAAATCAAGCCTTCGCCCTTCGTTATGCACAATGGGCCAGAAGTGTTTTCTGCACCACAGAAGGACAACAGTTGCTGTTTTTCCAACCAACACACGCATTTAGCTCCAGACACACATGGTGAAGCCAAGTCTCGCTGCCCCCACATGACTGAAATCAGCCCAGGAAGGGACAGAGAAGCACGAGGCCTTGCAGGTACCAGTGAGTGTGACAAGCTGTAGCTGCCCCCACGAGACAGCTGCTCAGGCCGACCTCACTTCAGTCATGCCCAAGAGGATGCTGCTTTTTAACAAATGCGACCTGAAAGTGAGCGAGGCCAGTGTCCCAAGAGGACGCGGCCCAGCTGCACACATAGCTTCCATGTCGGAGGTGCTCAGATGACCCGGAGCGTGGTTATTAGCCAAAGACATTCATTGTGTGTCTTCAATCAACTTGCTCCCATTTTTCCTTATGAATCTCACTACTGCTGACAATTCCGTTATGGGGACGTTGCCCGGGAGAAGGGGCAGGACGCAAAAACGAGCACTGCTGTCTTGATTTTCGGTCAGGCTGTTTCTGCAAACCTCCTTCCAATCGCGGTGCATGCATTTCCCCCAAATTCCTGCCCGTCCATTCCCCAGAGGAGCTGTGCACCCCTACATCAAGGCTGAAGAACTACAGCTCTGGGTGGCAGTGGTAGATGACTAGGGACTTACACGGGTGCTCTTATTTTTATTTCTATTCACAACAACCCAACCACCCAAGCTATAACCCCAGGGAACAGACAAGGGGCACAAGGGACAGTCCTTCCACGACTCAGTCTGCAGACCTCTCCAGAAATGGGCCAGCCCTTGTCTAGCCAGGCACTGAAATCGCCCGGAGGGCTTCTTATTTACCTCCCAGCGGCGGTCATTGGTGAAAATCTCGTCACTGGCCAGCTCCAGCTGGTTCCACTCCAGCAGCAGCTTCAGCTGCCCACTCCAGTTATCTTTGTCTTGTTCGTTGGTGCTAAAGGCTGTGAGAGATCAGGAAAAAGTCAACTCGCCTAAAAGCCAGAAATAAGGAGTTAGAACCATTGGTGTAGCCAACTAGCAGAACCATTGGTCGAGGAGTTTCTAACATGTCTTCTTGCAGTCAAACACGCAGAACTGTCATGTCACTGTATTTCTCACCCATTCTTACCCAGATTCTGGATGTCCCAAAGGACAGGATGAGGATAAATCCAAGCAATGATAGTATCTTTTCATTTCTTTATAGTGTAACTGCAGTATGTTGACATTTTCCCATAATTCAGATAAATAAATACATTTATATCTATCGATATTATATTTCATCTGATGGATACTGCACCTAAATCTATGAAATAAGAGTCACATGATAACAATGTTCCACTGGCCCTTCCCAGTGCTAATATTTCCTGCTTCTGTGTAGCTCACAGATAGAATCCCATTTAATAAATATCTTTATATGCAAATTTCTGGCAAGCACAGTAAGAATGAGTCTGACAAACAGATAATGCTTAAGCCACCTTGGCTGGGGCTTCACCCCTCAGTGCACCCTCACATGCACGGATTGGCAGCTCAGCTCTGGAGGCCAGCCTCTGCCAAGGATCTATTTTCTTCAGGTAACAGCCACCCTGATGGGACAGCAAAGATCAGAGATGGGAACTGACAACCTGACGCTCATTCACAAGCTTCAGGTGACCCCAAGTCCCTGAAATGGAATGCAAATTATTTACATGTGTGGAGTGTGTGGGCACGCACGTGTGAATGTGCGTGAGGAATTCTGGGACAAGAGTCCATTGTTTCATCACCCCTCGAACCAGCATTGGCATCCGTTCATGGAGAGATCACTGATCACATTTGATTAGTCTTTGGAATGACATAAAATTCATCTTCTATTAAAAATACACAGCCCAGAAGACTTAACCCAGCAGGTTTAGAACAGACATTCTAACCTCTGAAAACCAACACTAAGTGCAAGATTGGATATAGATGGAGCTGTTGAAAAAAATAAATGCTGGTCATTAAACCCGCAGACAGCAGGCCCAGCAGCCCCCGGGGTCTCGCTCACCTTTGTACAGCGCGAAGGAGATGGCGTTGCTCACGATCTCGTCCCCGGCTTCTTCCATTTTAATAACTGTTAAGAGGTGAGAACTCTCGAGAATCTCTTTGAGCTGGCAACAGCGAGAGAACAAAGTCACCAGTCTGCAGGTTTTCGGCATGAGGAGCATAAACTTCTCTTTGGGGGCTGAATCTTTCAACATCTAAAAAGCCCCCCGGAGGGCTGCTCCAGACCATCCCTCGCCCGCAGCGCCGGGACTTGTGACGTCTAATGTCTAAATTGGAATCATGAGTCCTTGGCCACAAAGAGAGTGAAGCACTGGTTAGAGGAGACACAGACCAAAAAGCTGAGCGCCTCACTGCCCGGGAACACGTGTGTGTGTGTGTGTGTGTGTGTGTGTGTGTGTGTACACGCATGCATGAAATAAAGCTTGGCACGTGCTGGGTGCTCTGTGGTTGGATGAGTGAGTAAATGAAGAACAGGCAACAGAAAACCACAGGAAGAAAAGGAAGGAAAAGCTCCATGTGAACAGGACATAAGTGGATTTGGTGACAGGGCAGCGAAGTGAGGACTTGGATGTGTTGCCCTCAGATTTTCCCGTCATGTGCTTTTTCTGTGAAGCTTCGCTCTGTAATGTGTTCTGCAATGTTGAATGTAAAAAAACCTTTTTAAATCAAATTGCTGGGGAGGCCGCCGGCGCGCGTGGAGGGGCTGGCCGTGTGAACGGAGGTCCCTCCCTCAGCAAGCCGCAGCCTGGGTTCAAACAAGGAAAGAGATGCAGGTGGAACTGACAGGCAGGGAGGGCCGAGGCGCCAAGGTTCAGGGGCACACGTGGGGTGGCAGCGTGGGGAGAGGGTGAGACATCATTTCCTTTGAAATGAAAAGGAAGAAGGAGACAGTGAGTACGCAGCCAACTGGGGGGCCCAGAGACACGGCAGGGGACCCCAGGCGGTCTCTCCTCCCCCATACACTTGCCTCCTGAGGCCGCTCCCTTCCACAGCCCGTGAGAGCTTTCTGGAACATACATTTGACTACATTCTCGCCGTGTTTTCCAATGCATTTAAACAAAACCAAAACCTTGAAATGGCACTGGAGGGTCTCCCGGGCTGCCTCCAGAAGCCTCAGCATCCGTTCATAATGACCCTCGCTGCCCTGTGGGCCATATTTGCCTCACACCTCAGGGCCTTTGCACATGCTGCTGCCACCATCACCATCTCAGCCCGTCCTGCAGACCACGGATCCCATCTCTCTTCTCCCTTCTGAGAGGTCCCCACCCCGGCCAGGCTGCCCCGGCTCATGGCCTCCAGTTCCCACATCACCTTTCCTCCCGACACCCATGTCAGCTGGAAATTCTACAATGTGTCCTATCGTGGTCACTCAGCATGAACTCTCCCATTGCTTCTGGTTTCTCTGGGAGGACAAGGACATCTTCTGTGGTGGCACTGCTCTTTCTGAAGCCCCTGCTCAGCACCCAGCCTACTCGTGTGCTCACGAGATAGCAACTGAGTAAGTGGAAAGATGAAAGAGTTTGAAATGAATGGTCTCTAGGTTAGCTGGTAGCTTGGTCAGCTTCTTGAGAAGCTGAGGAACAAGTAGGTTCAGGGGGGTAACCAGGAGAGCACAGGTCCCGGCAGGAGCCTGGATGGCCTGGAGAGGTTGAGAAACCGGGAGCCTAGTTTGGGGTGGGCTGCCCACCTCACCCGGGAGGCAGCCCACAGCTGCCCTGGGAGGTTGCTCAGTGAACACTGGCTATGGCATTGCCAGCAACATGGGTGGGCCTTGAGGGGAAGATGCTAAGTGAAATAAGTCAAAAGGAGAAAGACACATGCAGTACGATTTCACTCACTTGCAGAATATCAAGAAAAGCAAAAGCTTACATGATCTCGTGAGAAAATAATGAGAAAGGTGAGAGATTCCAAATGCATCACAGGCCAGTTAACGTAGCAAAGCAATTATTGGGCCTCCTTGGTGGCCTAAGTTTCAGTGTTATCACCGCTGCAGCCTGAGTTCCATCCCCAGCAGGGAGCAACCCACATGGTGCAGCAGACCTCTCCTGACTCGCCCGCTGCTCCCCTCAGCAGTGTGTTTCAGTCAGCCTGCCTGTTCTGCTCCCCACTCTGTCTCTGGGGAATCCTCTCACCCCCTGCACCTGTGGCCTACATCCCAGCTCTTGTATGCATGAATAAATAAATCTTAAAAAAAAAACCTCTCCTGTCTCCCCGCTGCTCCCTTCAGCAGTGGATTTCAGTGGATCCGCCTGTTCTGTTCCCCGCTCTGTCTCTAGGAAATCCTCTCACCACCACCCGCCCCCCGCACTTCTGGCTATGCCCCAGTTCTTCTACACACACAAAAAGAAAAACAGAAAAGCAATTATTCTGTCCTAACAGTTTCTCCATTAAAGATACTAGAATCATCATCACCAAGGGCTTCCTTCCTATCCGCCCCTGAGAGGCAAAACACGGAAGCTAAACACGGTGGACCTTACGGTGCAAAAGAAGGACACCAGCTCTGCGAACAGGCAGAGGGAGTTTAAACCCACGTCAGCCCCTTATGGGGGACAGAGACTCTGCAGATCAGTTCACATGCATGAGCTCCAGTTTCCAGCGAGAAACATCATGTGAGTCCCTCCCAAAGTTGTCAAGAAAATGCCGGAGACGCAGAGGCGCTGGTGGAGTCCGCTTGTGAGGTGTCCTCCCTCCCCTGCACCTGGCGCGTTTTCTGGGCCCTGCAGGCCCCCGTCAGACTCACCCACTTGATCCAGCTCTCAATCTCCTCCTCTGGCAGCCGGGACACCGTTCGGGGCAGGAAGCGCACCAGCTTCTCCTTGACGATGGACGAGGTCAGGACGTCCTCCATCTCCACCAGGCTGGCGATCACGTCAGCGATCTGGCCCGAGCCTTCCACCACCACACACGGGATTTTGCTCTTGATGGAGGTATTGATGGCCTGGAGAAGGGGACAGAGTGGGCGATGGAAGAGACACTGGTGGCCCGCGGAACCCGGCTCAGGACCAGGCTCTCGAGCAAGTGGTGACCAGGCCACGTGGACACGGCCCTGCTCTGCTTCCTGTGCATTTTTCTCTTCAATCGGCAGCAAGCCAGATGTTAGCCACCGCCTTAGAAAGAGAAAGCCGGCGGCACTGCATCCTGGGCTAGCAGCGCCTTCCAGAATAAGGACACATGTGACTAGCTTAGGTTTTCCATAAATAAATGCTTTAAAACAGCCCCCTGGGGCCTCCCCTGGTGGCGCAGGCAGTTGAGCACCGTGCTGTGAAGCTGTCCGCAGCCTCTGCAGCACCGGATGTATCCCAGCCGGCTGGCGAGGGTCCAGCATGGCGCGCAGACCTCTCCTGTTATGCCCGCTGCTCCCCTCAGCAGTGTCTTCGGCCCGTCTGCCTGTTCTGTTCCCCGCTCTGCCTCTGGTGAATCCTCTCACCCTCCCATGAATCTTGCCTGTACCCCGGTTCTTGTATAAATAAATAAATAAATAAATAAATCTTTAAAAAAAAAAAAAAACCCAGCCCCCTGGATAAAAGCGATTCCCCAAATACTGGCATTGCAGATTTGAGTGACTCCCCTTCAGGCCACATTCAACAGCCTTGAGAGCTGGTGGAAGTCAACAGCTCGCGCTTTCGAGGCATGAAAACACAGTCCGAGCAGCGCTCACCTATTTTGCATTACTCTGACTCACACATTTCCCTTCTCAACCTCCTTTCATGGAAGAAAATAAATACACATTTGCTTCCTGGGTGAACACCCCCACGCTTGTGCTGCCTTCATAGAAACCAGACACCGTGGAGGGGAATCAGGTTTGAACAGTTCTGGCCACTTGACAGCAAGATCAGGCCCCTTCCCAACCCCCTGCCCTCCCTCCTGGCCCAGGGCAAAGGCTCTCGAGGGGGTGTCCCCAGCAAGGGTGCGGCCGCCATCCCAGGGGAGTGGAGGGCTCGGTGCTGGGGTCCAGCCACACCCTGCGACCTGCACTAAGGTGCGTGTGGGTCACTCAGGGTGGGAGCGGGGGTGGGATGAGAGGGGACCAAAGGGAGGCGCGGGGAGCCGGGAGACCAGGCCGGCAGCTGCTCCTCCTCCCTCTCCCCTCCGCCCGCGTCCCGGGTGCAAGTGTCTGGACAGACGTCTGCAGGAAATGCCGTCGGCGCGAGTCCCGGGTCGGCCGCAGCTCTCTGGAAACCCTAATTCTACAGTTAGGATGCGACAGCGCTGACACGCAGCCACCGCCACCTGCTTCGCGCCTTCTCTCCTCGTTGACGTGGCTGTTTCTTCCAGCCTTTGCACACTGACAATGTCACATTTTAAAAATCGTTCACTTCCCCAGATGACTTCTGTTTAACAGTAGCCGAACAGACCGCAGCGCAGGGGCTCGGTGAACATGCCCGGCGCGTGGAGGAGGGGGTGAGCCCCCTGGTAGATCCAGGCACAAGTGAAGGGAAATGCTGGGGTATGACTCGCAGAACTTTATCAGGAGTTACCGGGAACTCGGGGGTTGCGCTGGTCAGTGGCGATGAGCAGGAATGTACCTATAATCTGACCCTGGACTGCGAGTTAAGAAGGCACAGGGGGTGGAGGTGGGAGATTGCAAGTCAACATGGAAATTAGTTAAAAGATAAAGTTAAAAATCACTGCCTAGTAATGTCTTATTCCTAGAAAAATGATATCTTGAACGTGACACTCAAGCCTTCACATCAGGCCAGAAGGCAGTCACGAGGGGGTTTTTTTAACAAGTCAAACCACAGCCCAGATATGTCAGGGAGAGCTCAGTGACCCCAGAGTCTCCGCGGGTGGGCAGGAGGCTGAGCTCCCACTCAGTCACCCATGGCAGGCACAGACCACTCAAGGAACTCTCCATAGTCTCAGAATCCTGTAGGGCCTGACACCCCTTCATGGGCGTGCCCTAGAGCACACAGAGGGGCTCAGATGGGCTGTGAACCCCTACTTGGGGGCAACCTGAGTGTGCGACCACCTCTCCAAGAGGTGGGGTGCCATGGTTTTCCAGTATGTGCTGGTTAAGTCTCAAGGTCAGGCTGATGACCAACATCAACACCGAATGGACAGGCGAGCCGTGACCCTGCAAGGTCTCACCCACGTCAGCCTGTCAGGGAAGATGGTGGGTGAGAAAATGTTCCCTATTTGCTTCATCGAAAGAAACTAGTCAGACCAGGTTAGGTGAGCCCCACAGCCCTGAACATATAAGTGTGCGGAGTAGACACGGTAACTGAGCCTCTAGAAAACCAAGACTCACTTTCAAAGTCTCTTTTCCACCTCCTTGGGCAAAACACACGATGGGGATTTTTCCGCCATAATTGGAATCTGGAAAACATAAAGCAAAAAATGTTGGGGGCTCATTCAAAATACTCACCTACCACAAGGAAGAGGTGGGCCAGAAACTTCTGTGCCCAGAGTCCAGGGTGTGGGGTCCTGACTGTCTACTCACTGGCCACAGAGGATGCATGTCTGTGCCCCAACCCTGCAGCAGCATGGCCCAGTCAGGTCAAATCATAGTGAAATCTGCGAATGATTTACTTTGGCTAATATACCTCAGGTTAGGTTCAGTTTATCCTTCTCAATTGCGCAATCCCGCTTTCTTTTTTTTTTAAAGACTTATTTATTTATTTGTACAAGCACTGGATACAGTCAGAAGCACGGGAGGGTGAGAGAATTCACCAGAGCCAGAGCGGGGAACAGAACAGGCCGACCAACGAAATACACTGCTGAGGGGAGCAGCGGGTCCGGCAGAAGAGGTCTGTGTGCATGTGGGACCCTCGCCGGTGGCCAGGGATCGAACCGGCGCTGCAGAGGCTGCGGGCAGCTTTGCAGCCCAGTGATCAACCACTGCGCCACCAGGGGAGGCCCGCACAATCCAGCTTTCTTGCGTGGATGAAAAATTAGCATGAGTACATGTTCTCTCAAGGCAGATCATTGTACACACACATATGCATGATATCTGCGCATGTACACATGTGTGCACACATAAATCATGTATAATATCTGTGCATCTGTATCTACACACACATACACACACACACACACACATCCCATTGTGGAAGGGAAAGGCTGAGAACATCTCCAACAAGCCCCTCCTGAGAGCATGAGAGACTCTGGATCCACACAGGCCCCATCTCAACACCATTTGAACACAGGAAGAGAGTGTCAGGCTGTCACTGAATGCTGCACTGTCCCCTTGAAACAGATGTTCTGGGGGCTTCTCTGATACACAAGATTCACAGAAGCGAACCATCCAACCGTTAGACCATGTGTTGGCTCTCATACTTTCTTACCCTCGTGAGCCCAGATTTGGCTCCATGGGTGGGTTTGTTCTTAACTATTGTTAAGAAGAGCCAACGGATTTCTAACCTGACAAATCTGAGAGGGACAAGGCACCGCTCCCCCAGGTGGAAGGGCTCAGGGACCCTGGCGGGAACACTCCTGCTATCGTAAAGAAGAGGAATAACAGCCCCTCCTCGGCGTCAGGGCCGATGAGGTGGGCTCATCATGCTTGAGCAACGGCCATGTCCTACACACTGACCTTGAATAGTGCGCTCGGAGATGTACTTCTCCAGCTGATTCCGGAGCTTCGCCTCAACCGTGGGGTGCCCATGGCAGCCATTGTCCACGAGCAGCAGGTGGGTATGGTTGTTGTCCAGGATGTACAGAGGGTCCCTCTTGAAGTCATCCATAATGTACTGGGCAGAAAAGTACTCCTGAAAAGCACAGAGAAACTGGCCTTGAGACTCCATGTGTCGGCCAAGACACGTGTTCATAGTAAGGTAAACGCTTCAGATTCAACTCCATGGATGCCTCGCCCAGATTCCCCAGCTCAGAAGGGTCGCAGAGTTCTTACGTACAGGCCTTCACTTTCAACAGGGAGAAATGAAGGTCAAGGACCACTTGACCATTGTCACAAATAACTCCCACTTCTTGTATTCCCTTGCAGAGCGCTGACTCCAAAACCTTAACGAGGAAAGACTCAGGAAAAAAATAGCCGGAGAGCGAGCTCCCTAATGGCCAGCAACAGTGTAAGGGTCAGATTCCCAATCCAGGTCTCATTTCATCTCCCTTGGCTCTGTTCAGTGAATTCATCAAAACTGAGAGCACTCAGGGAAGGACAGTATATACACAAACATATTCACACACACAAAGACGTGTGTGTGTGTGTATTTACACATACATGTGTGTATTTGTGACTGGGTGGCTACAGGCGGGGTAGACATTCCTAGACACACATATTCACCTGGAATCTGCCAAGACTTGGAGTTAAAAAGTGGGTCTAAAGAGAGATGAGTGGACCAAGGAGATGCGGTCTGTATACTACACCGAGCAGGATTACTGCTGAGCAATTAGCGCTGTTTCCAGGCTGCAGTCCATTACATTATGGCTCACAGGAGAAAAATAACAGCAGTATAGAAGCAAAAATATATTTCATACTCAGTATTCATTCTTGAATTAAAAAATTTTAAGCTAGAAATAAAAGGATGATGCCCTATGATATTGTTAAAACTATGCACATCTATTGAACAGTTAGCCAAATCCTTCTGAATAGCTTGAGCTGGGAGGCTAATCCCACGAGCTGTGGTACGTGAACGCCTGTAGCTGCTAACGTCACTGTTAATTCACATTACACTGGGCAACCAGATGAGCAAAAAGCGCAGAGTACATCGATAAAAGAGCCATTTTAAAAAATAACATTATTTATCAAAGATGTGGTTGCAAACATAGGACACCCAGAGAATCTACTGAAAAATTACTGTGACAAGAGAAAGAGCTCGCAGAGTGTGATTCCGAGCAGCAGACAAATCACTGCTTTTATCTAGACAAGCAAAAACCACTTCAAAAATTACCTTGACTAAAGGCCCCATTCACAACAATAATAACAATGTAAAATCTTCAGAAAATAGATGTGTGAAAAACACATGGCTTAAATAACTTCCCTGAAAACACAGACTTGCATAAATTGGGAGACACGGACATACCATGGCATTGGAGAGGACTTGACAGTCTAACCCTTGCAGTTTTCTCTGCATCAGCCTATAGCTTTAATGAGGTTCCACTCAGTAAGTGTGAACTTTTACTGCATTGCCTCGTCTTGTTTATTGTATTGTTTTGTCTTGCCTGGACGGAAGGATGTAAAGCATAAATAATAAGGAAATGGAGGGGCGCCTTGGGCTGTGTCTGCTAATGCTGTTGTAGAGCAACAATGTAATCCTGACTTCAGAAAAATAAAACTGATGGAAGAGGAGAAAAGAACTCAAAATCACATAAAACTTTAATGTTGGTGAAATGTGGTCGTGGCTCAAGTCAGATAAATCTGGGTCCCAGGACAGTCCTGGGATGGGGTTTGGGACCCCAAATAGGAACCACTTAAGAAGGTTGGCCAACAGAGTTAGTATGAACCATCACCACATTCAACTTATGTGAAAGACCAACTTGCTCTGAAAAGATCGAGAAGAAAGAGGGCAGAGACCACAAGATCATGTGTTTGCTACAAAGCTGCTAGAGGTGGTCCTGGCACTTCCCTTCACAGAAACACAAAGGAGTAACAATTAGCTCTATAATTTGAGTATTATTCCTCTCCTAGACTATTGTGAAGAATAAGTGAGTTAATATATGTTAAACACTTAGAATAGCACCTAGTACATAAGTGTCATTAAATAAATGTTAGCTATTTTCATATTATTGAATTATATTTTTATTTTTACTAACAAACGTAAATGGCTATGCATTTCACTCTGAGTGCAGCTTTGACCACACCTCATTAGTCCCACTACAGTTTACAGTGTTTCCATTTTCCTTGTTCTCAAAGTAACTGAGATTATATTTTTAAAAGTTCGTTTTTGAACAATAGTTATTTAACAAGGTAATTTATTTGCTTCTGAGTTTCCAAGTGACTGAAGTTTTCTGTTAAATTTTTATATATTCATTTCAGGTTTCACTTGTTGACTTAGAATGAGCCCTTTATTTTTCCACCTGGGATGTAATCGAGTCTTTTTGTTGTTTCTCCAACTCAGGGGCAAAAATATCTACTTTACAGAGTTGTTTTGTGATTCTATGAATTAATATGCACAATGTACCCACGACAGTGACGATGACTTTCATGCCTGTGCCAAACACCTCTCACAGACAAAGGCACATTCCTTCCCACCCAACTTGCCACTTGCTCAGAATCCTACCCCCAGGCCATTGTCACCCCTGAGGCTGGCATGTGATGTGAGACCATTCTGCCATCCATGACAGAGCATCCAGATGTCAATAAAAGCTGCCATTCGTCCTGTGCCACAATCTGCCCACAATAATACAAGTTTGCAGTTATTAAAATTCAGAGAAGGAAACTCGCTCGCAACCATGCAGATAGAAAAGGAGCATGACTCAACCCCAGTATTTCCCAAAGCCTGTCCTCCACCCCCTCTGCCACACCGCCTTCTGGAGACCAGAGGTCATGCCTCCCCACTCTTCCCTGCCCCTCACAGACCTCAAAAATGGTAACAGACACAAAAGTAAAATCATTTTAAAAATAAAAGAAACACAGTAATCCCCAGATCCTTAACAGTTATCTAAACTTCAAGGAGCGCCAGGTGGAAGGTGTAAATTAAAGTGGGATTTCTAAGCATCTGGTCCAAAGTTCTGGGCAAAAAACAACTGTTGCTTAAGGAGGTATGCAACTCAACTAGACAATCCCCCACATGTCTACCCCACAGGTCTACCCTATAAGTCTACCTTTTATTTCAAACATTTGCATGTGTTGATTACTGCAGCAGGGGGTGCTCAAAGCCCTCTTCTATGCCAGGGATCACTGCAGTGATTTTAATTCCTACAAGTGTGGCCAAGCAACTAAGGTATGGCAGGCAGGGCTTCAGCCATCTCGGGATGGATTCAAGGCATGGCTGTGAAGAATAAAGAGCCTGGCTCTCACACGATATTGCTGGGACCAAATTTTAACATGTCAAGCACCTGTATTGGCAACTCCTTCTCAGGAGCTCCTCTATTATGGCGTTCTTGGTCTCCATTCTGAGGTCCCAAAGGCATTCCTGGGCAGGCCAACTTCCCCAGGAGCAGGCTCCATCCCAGAGGCCCTGTGCTCAGGCTGCAGCTTGGGCTGTGGTCTTCCTCCCATGTCCTCAGAGACCCCTTCCCCACCCCCCCCAACCCCATACCTCATCATCACAGTTCCTGATGAGGCTGTCCCTGTTGGAGACCATCCCCCAAGCCGCTATGCCAATGGCCACGATGTTTTCCTCAGAGTTCCTGCTGATGGTGTTATCTCTCACCACCTCCCCGATGTTCTTCATCAGGCCATAGTGGGTGCCCCCGGTGAAAATCCAAGCACCTGCCAACAGGGGAAAGGAGTCGGTCCTGAGCAAGGTTCTGGACCTATGCTCACAGACCCCAGGTGGGATCTTCCCAACGTGACCCTGGTGCCTGCAATGCACCATTGCTTTGCTATTACACAAACTGCACACTGTTGATCTAAGGTTCATATTTGACGATCTCCTCAATTTCAAAGGTTTTGCAGGGATTCTGTTTTAGTTTTTCAAATTGATGCAAGTAAATAACAGACTGTAAAGTTGGCAATGACCTTAGTCTGACAGGCCACCCACGCAGAAGCCAGCCGGAAGCAGCTCTCCTGCTTCATGACAGCTGTGCGAGCCCCAGGGACACCAAGACAGCTGCCCCTGCACCAACAGAGCGGCTACAGCAGTCCCAGGCCTCAGCAGGTACGCGGCAGTAAGCAACTGCTGAATGAATGAAGGATGTGTGTTAAGGAAGCTGAGCTGCTCCGTTTCATAACAAAGTAACTGCCCTCTGGTTGGCCTCAAAATGGCCACCTCTGGTTGGTCAGGAAATGGAGAAGCATACACGGGGGTGGGGGGACCTCAGTTACTTCTTGAACTTCAGGAAAAGTTCATATTTAAAATAAGACATTATTTAGCCAACTGGTTTTCGTGTGTGTGTGTGTGTGTGTGTGTGTGTGTGTGTGTGTGTGTAGAACTGGGGTACAGGCCAGAGGTGCAGGAGGGTGAGATGATTCCCCAGAGACAGAGTGGGGAACAGAACAGGTGGATCTACTGAAATACACTGCTGAGGGGTGCAGTGGGGAGACAGGAGAGGTCTGCTGCACCATGTGGGTAGCTCCCTGGCCGGGGATTGAACTCAGGCCGCAGTGGTGACAGCACTGAGACTTAACCCCTACGCCACCAGGGAGGCCCCAGCCAATTAATTTTCTTTTTTTTATATTTATTTATTTATTTGTTTGTTTGTTTGTTTGTTTATACAAGCACTGGGTACAGTCAGAAGCGCGGGAGGGGGAGAGAATTCACCAGAGCCAGAGCGGGGAGCAGAGCAGGCAGAAGGACCGGAGGACACTGCTGAGGGGAGCAGCGGGCGGCAGGAGAGGTCTGCGCGCCATGTGGGACCCTCCTCCGGTGGCCGGGGAGCAGCCGGGGATGGAACTGGCGCCACAGAGAGCGCCGGCAGCTTCGCAACCCAGCGCTCAACCGCTGCGCCACCAGGGAGATCCAATTAATTTTCTTAATATAGAAGTTTTTCAATCTTAAGTTTAGATAAACTGATAAAATAAATGCAAGTGTTCGATAAGTTGCATCTCATGCTGAGGAAACAACAGTCAGGCTCACACCGAGGGCCAGCCTACAAGGACATCTGCCTATGCTTTTAAAAGTCTTCCGAAGACAGACTCAACAGCAGTTCCAATGAAAGAAAGCTTTTTAGTTTGTTTTGATATGAAAAGCTAAATATTTTGGAGTCCAGGTGGGAAAAAAAATATATTTTTTCCTGTAAAGGCCATGGTAGGGAAAATAGCAAAATGAAAGCGCGGACCGCTTTTTCAGATGATGCAGATAACGCGTTGGCCAATGATGCCTCCTGGTGGCTGAGAACGGTCCTGGTCACGGGCCACCCCTGCTCCAAGCAGACCCAGGAGGACACGCTTAGGGACCACGCGTCATGACACCCGCTGTTTACTCTCAAGAGATCCCCACCCCAGATCGCAGTGCGCGACCCTTGTGGGAACACATAAGACAAACGTGGGGGAAATGTTAACAGTTGGTAAATCCGAGTGTATGCACATGTTCCCTGGATTGTTCTTAGAACTTTTCTGTAGGTATAAAATGTTTTATCCCACGAAGTTAAAAGCAAAACGAACGCTAGGTGAATACCCCAAGTTCCAAAGCCACACCTGTTTTGATCTCAAGCACTCCGTGGTGCTTCCAGCCTCCCAGACAATCGCTGTTTCCGAAAGTGAGTCATTGATCTCAAAATTACAAAGTAAGCCAATAAAACTTACCCTTTCGATTCACCAGAATATTCTGGGTGAAATTTTATGGGTAGAAATAACAAAACGAAAACAGAAGAAGAAGAAAAAAAATCTTTAGTTAAAAAAAAAAAAACCATAAAATTACCCATTAAGGAAACCCCTTAGCACTGATTTTCAAGTCACTTGGTGAAACCCCAGCCGCCAGCGAGAGCGCCCGTCTGTCCATCACTAAGGACCTTGCCTGGCACTTACCATCCGGCCCTGCAGCATCTGCAGTCCACGCATGGGCAGCGGAAGGGCATTTCATTCAGACTGGGAAGACCTTGCATCGCAGGAAGGGAATAACTTGGGGGCTGGGTGCTTCCCCCCACTCCCCGCCCTGCCACTCCAGGGCCCGTCAGCAACTCCCCCTGCACCCCAGGGCCCGCCGCACCTTTGGACTGTGCGATGTAGATCAGCCGGCTGAAGATCTTGCGCATCCGCGGCTTCAGGGAGAAGTTCTTGGCGCCCCCGGTCACCGAGATGACCAGGTTGGGGGTCTTCAGGTGCCAGTGCTGGGTCAGCAGCTCGTAGAGGATCTCAGCATCCGTGTCACAGGACAGCCGGAGATACTGCGGGGAAGGGGCGCGGCAGGGGTCGGGGTCACATGTGGGCCCTTCAGCTCCCGTGGCAGGGCGAGGGGAGCAGATGGCCACCGGGGAGGGTCCCCCACGGCTGTGTTCAGGCCCAGTCGGGAAGGGGAAGGGAAGCAGGAGAGTGGGGGGGCCTGAGATTGCGGCTGAGCCTGCTGGACAACTGGGGACTTTGTCCATAAGGGGGCCGTTGTGGGGTAGGGTTGGGATTTACAATCTGGGGAGGCCTCCAGCCATGTGGACCACAGGCCCTGAGCAAGGGGGGCGGGGGGAGAGCTGTGGGGAGACCAGAGATCCTGGTGGCCCGGGGCAGAGAGAGCAGAGCTGGGTCACCTCCAGGGCTGCAGGACCCGCCTGGGCACATGAGGCAGGACCCAGGTGTGCCACCACCTGAGGACGCTTCGGTCCCTGAGGCCCAGGACACAGCAGGATTCAGGAGCTGCTCCCCACAATCATTAGGCACCCTCGCAAAAGCCAGCGGGGAGTGGGCAGTGTGGTGTGTAGCGGGACGAGACTCCTCATTCAGCACCATAAGTATCCTCCGGAAAATCACCCACCAGACTAAGGGGGACAAAGGCTTGGTGGGGGGGGGGCTGTGCGGCAGGGCGGGCCGAGGTGGATGCCGGGTGAGTGCCTGCAGTTGTTCTGTCAAAGGCTGCTGGGTCAAGAGACGGTTAACTGTCCAGCTTCTGGTTGCACGTGATCTAATCACAGCTTTTGCTTTTTCCAGGATCTCTCTCTCTCTCTGCCATCTTGCCCACCTCTGCTGGCAAATTCAAGGTACCCCAAGGCGGCCTGAGAGCCGCGAGCACGGGGCTGGGCTGGTCAGCGCAGAGAGCGTCGCTCACCTTCCCTTTCTTCCCCAGACTCTCGAACTGAATATCCCCGAAGGCGTCGGTGGGAAACTCCTTGGTGTGCTTCTTGTAATTCCATTTCTCGTTGTGGTTGACCTGGGTGCCCTCTATGTGCTGGCTCTGCGCGTAGCCACACTTGCACACGTTCTCTCTGGCGCGGTGGGGAGGTGGGAGGAAGAGACGCCATCAGGCCAAGTGAACAGCGCGCTCCCCAGCATGCTCTTAGCTCTGCCCAGCACCCCTCCCCCCGGCCCTCACGTGGCTTGTCCGGCAAATGATAACGAGAGCTGCCTGGCGGGGCCCGCGCAGAACTGGCAATCAGGTATTTAATGCCCCCATGCCACAGTCAACACCTAAATATTTGTTGCATGAGGGACTCCAAACTGTGTTTTCTACCAAACAGAGTCATGACAAGCTCTTCCAGTGAAACATGTGGGGATAAGTAACTGCTCGCGGGGTTGATACGCCCTCAGAGTAACTCAGAATGAAGCAGTTTATGCCAATGACAAAATAGAAATCCCTTGGTTTTTCTGATGTTCCTTTTCAAATTCATACAAAATAAGAAAGCCCATTTACTGAGAAGCGCCAGTGCTCTGAGGCTCTAGGGCAGGAGGGCTTATGTTACCCCACTGTAGCTTTACAAAAATCTATGATATTCACTTTGCTGTAGGAGAAGAGAATTTGGTTCAGAAAAGGGGGTAGTTGGCTCCAGGTCTTGCAGCGAGCAGACACCCAAGCCCTGGGGGAGTCCAGGGCTGACTCCAGTGCTCCTGCCTGCTCGGCCCGTTCTTCCTCCTGGGTTCCCTGCTCCATTCAATGCAGCATCGGTGCTTTAATTATAAACCACGGCAACAACTCCCAGTTAATGGCCTGGTGCTCCCATCACCAGCAGACAAAAGAGGAAGGGCAAGGAAGAACAAGAGAGAGGCCAGGGTGACAGAGCTGAACCTTGTTAGGTGCATCCTCTGGGGCCCAGCTCCACACGGGTCCACACCCTCACGTGCTCAAGGACTAACATCCACCAGGATCTCCCACATCTAAGCTGCTGGTGCCGGCTCCCCACGCCTTTGGGACTCAGCCTTACTGTTCCCGAACTCATGAAGACTCTGAGCAGGTGAAGATCTTATTTGGGGAACACCCAAAGTCAGCTACCGGGAAGGACAGCCTGGCAGAGGAGCTGGGCACACCTGTGTTGCCTGCCAACCACCATCAGACAGCAACACTTGTTGCCACGGCAACTAGGTGGACCCCCAGGCTCTCGGAGATAAAGAGGGAGCAACAACCTCTCAGTGCCTTTACCAACTGTTACCAGAGCTAAAAATATTCTCTAAATGCTACTTCTCTAGGGACCAGCTACAGGCCACATACCAGATTCTTCCTGCTTCCCATCATTTCTGAGAATTGCAGGATGAAAACAATTTTAATGATGAACTAGTGAACATTTGATTTTTGTTATTGTAATGGTTGTTAATAATTTATTGTCAAACATAGAAGCAAAAACAGAGATTAAAAAGTTGCTTACATGGCCTTGGAATCTTTGGTAAAGAAGACACATTCCCGTTTCTTAAAATTTGCTTGAATAAAATTCACCAAGTCCTTTGGAGAAAGAGCATTGGACAACCCGTTACTAATTTATTCACAACACCTGCTATTGTCAATGGATATTAAATATGACCTAAACCAGCTGAAGGGGGTTAAGAATTTACCACGTATTCATAGCAGTCAGCATCTGTTAAGCGTTGAGAGTACATGAAGTTCTTTAAAAGAGACATGCGTTAACATTTTTATAACTAAATGCAATTTTTTCTACAATTTACTTGGCGTTTTCCTGTATAAATGTCATTATACACATATAAATCATGCGTTCCCATCTCGCGGCCCAGGGAATATAAGCATTTGTTGACAGTTTCGCATAAATAATGTATTGCTGCAGAGTTCCATTCCTCTTAAGCAGGTTCCTCTAAAGATGTCCCCAAAAGTCCCCCACAGGTGAGGTGGTGAGGCACTTCTGCCACCTGATTCTGACAAACCCAAATCCCTGCTAAGCCCAAGGCTTCCTGAAAGTTGGGGAAGCAAACTACTTGGAAACAGAAGGAAAGTGTTTCGGAAGTGCCTCGGCTCCCAGAAGATACTGGCAGTGTGCGTTCATCATCGTAGGATCAGTAAACAGAGAATACAAGGGATGATAAATCACAGAGAACACAACAGGCCGCGCGATGGACTAGGGAATGTTCCTGGGGCAGCCCGGGGTGAAAGCGGACACACAGGTAGCCCATCGTGCAGGAGAAGCAACCACAGTCATCACAGCGAGGCACATGCAAAATAAAGCCACAAAGAAACCCCACGACCCACACCCAGGATGGAAAAATTAAAAGATAATTGACGCGGGACCGCAGAGCCCATGACTGCTCTGGGGGATGAGCGCACCCCCTCTAGAAAGCTGCCGCCTTTGCCAGAAAACGACGCCCTGGGAAATAGCCCCTGTGGAGAGGCGCTGGGTGTCCGGGCCCACCTGCAAGCTAAGGGGCCTGGCCATGGGCTCCCAGCACTAGAGGCTGGCCTGTCCCAGGAGGCAGCACCAGCAGAAAATCCGCTTCCCTCAAGTCACCAGGGGCCTTTCAAGCTGCTGACCCCCAAGTCAGGCTGCTGACACCAAAGCCAGTCTTGACTCCTTGGCCCCCGAGAGCCCTCACCAGTCATGCACCCACAAAAAAGAAATGGAGGGGGAGTCCCTCCCCTGCAGCAAAGCCCACGGTGTGTCTGGTGTCTCTTTGCTGCTCCACCAGGCACCCCTTTGGGGAGGTTTGCCGGCCTGTTTGTCCTTTCAGCCCACTGATGTGCCACCAACCCAGCCCGTCAGACCAAATCCCTTTTCTTTCCATTCGCTCTCCCAAGTTTTCACACCACATTCATGGGGGATCTTTTAAAATGACCTGAGAGTGAGCAGAAAACATGTGGGGCACCCCAGTTTCAGCAGGGATGTGGGAGGCACCAAGGCACCAGGAAAGTGCCTTCAGCAGGCACATTCCCCCACTGCAGTCAGGACCCCTAAGCCAACTACACCCCTGCCCCAGTCCTGCACCCCTGAGCCTTGTGCCCCTGCCCGGTCCTACATCCCCCCAACCCCACACCCTCCAGCCTCACACCCCTGCCTGGTCCTGCATCCCACACTCCCCAGCCTGTGCTCCCGCCCTGTCCTCCATCCCCCTGATGCCACATCCCCCAGCCTCAAGCCCCTGCCCCTGTCTGGCTTGTCCAGCAGGCGGGGCTGGGTGTGTCTCAGGCCCGGAGGGAGACGTGGTTGTTGCATTGGGAGGAGAGACAGCGAGAAGCTGCGGCACAATAAAAAGTGAAACCAGCCGAGCCCCAGGTGTGCAGCTGAGGACCTGGATGCAAGAACCGCTGCTGCGAGCGCAGAGGGGAGGGGAGGGTGTGGGGTGAGGGGTCCTGTGTGGAAGGACAGGCAGGGGGGCCCGGGGGGCTCGCGGGGCGACCAGGGCGGTCTGGACAGGTGTGGACACAGAGGGCTGTGCACACGCGGCGTCTAATGCTGCAAACCAGAGTCCTCTGGGGAACAAATGTTCAAGTGGCTTCTGACAAGGCGGGAAGCAAGACGCCAACAACAAACACGACGCGAACACGTGCAGCGCAGAATTTAACTTTCATGACAGTCCATTAAGAAATGCGGTCCTGGACCGCTAAGGTCACCGCTGCCCTCTTGGCGACCAGAAGGCAAAGGCGCTGCGCCAAGCCAGCCAGCGTCCACGGCCTGGGGTGCGCTGCGTCGAAAGGGGTGTGGGGGGAGGTGGAGGGGGGTGTCCTGGGCGGGAAGGTGGAGGGGGGCTGCCAGCCCAGGCCCGCGCACTTACGCTCTCGCTGTAGGACACGCTGGTGCTGCGGGACGCGCTGGAGCACAGCGTCCGGGTGCTGTCCATGGTGCCGTTCCTCCGGCTCCGCATGCTGAGCCGCGCGCTGTCGAAGGACATGGCTCCTGCGGGTGGGGCGGGGCGGTCGGGCTTCAGCTGCGAAAGGGCTTCATGCTCACCTGGTCACAGCCCGCTCCTCGCACCTGCTCGTCGGCGCGCCCCGCCCACCCCCAGGCTGCCGTGCCCGGCTCCCCCTCGTGCCTCTGCGTCCTGCAGGGTCCGCTCCAGTTTCCACCTTCGGCACAGCGGCCCTCGCCCCTCGGCCCCGCAGGGCCCGGGCGCTCCTCGCCTCGCCGTGCCACCGAGGGCCACGCCTTGGAGGGGCTCAGTGGCTGCTTCTGTGGGTGGCTTGGCGGAAAGGGAGCGCACGGAGTATCTGCAGCCTGACAGCCTGGGGAGCTACAAGACGCAGCCCTCTGGCGGGACAGAGGAGACCCTCCCGGATCCAATCCAGCTCGAACGTGGCTGTGAGTTGGGCCTGAGGTTCCCCGTGTTCTGAGTCACCGGGAGACTCAGAGCTGGCACGTGGGCTCCAAGGACACCCGCGATCCGCCCTCACCCCAGGCTCAGGAGCAGGCTGTTAGCCCACACCACGCAGGCCCAGCTGCCGTGGAGATGCCCCCGGCAGCCCTCCTGCTCTGCCAGACCCTCCCTTTCCACAAGACAGGAGCACCCACTTGGTCCCCACACCCTTGTCCCAAGCTACAGCATAAACCACCCACACGCACGCGTCCCATGCGCCAGGCAGACGCAATAAATTCTTTATTTCTAGAAGAAAAGCATCATCTTCTCTATGTCTCCTCCAGCACTGAGGTCCCCACCTGCCTGCGACACCCCTCCCACCCCATCTCCACCACCCCCGTGTGACACCCCCCCGTTCCCCACCCTCTCCAGCTTCTCCAGTGAGCCCCTGGGGTCCTGCTGCTTCCCCGGCCTGACAGCGCCCTCTCCCGCTCCGAGTCCTGCTCCGCACGTGGCCCCAGCATTTCTGTCTGCCAGAGCCCCGGTCTGGACCCTCTTCCCCAAACCCTCTCCATGAGGCTGCCCGCTCTCACCCTCCAGGCCTCGGCTTACACAGCCCTTCCTTGGGGAGCAGCCTGGCGTGCCCAGGTTGGGGTGGGTGTGGGTGGCCTGTGCCCAGCACCCCCACCCGCTCCAGCTGGGGGCACACTGGCTTGCTTCAGCGCTCAGGGCAGCCAACCCAGCTCTTTAAGGCAAAGAGGCCTGCTTCACCTCTCCCCAGGCAGTTACAGAGAGGCGCTTCCCCTGCGCTATCACAAACCAAATCGCAGGCCCATCCTGCCAGGTTCTGGCCGCGGGCTCCATGCAACAAATCGCTCCTCAAAGGGCAGCACTGGCCAGGAAGCATTTCATCTGCCTGGCAATGAAAAACTACATTTCCTTGCCATGGAAAAGTGGCCTTTAGCTTTTTCATCACCTTTCGGTCAAGCAAGTGAAGGGAAAACCACCTGAGCAGTGCAACGAGCCCGGTGCTGGCCCCAGGCCGAGGGCACCGTGCCCCAGTGGCTCTCTGGGCAGGGCGGCACTGTGGTGGCCTAACGAGGGTGGGGGTGCTTCACGCCTCATGGGGGCGTATTTCAGGGGCACCCCCTGTGGGTCATCCACACACATCGGGTTGCAAGGCTTGGTGTGGACACAGGTGAGCACAGGCTGGACCTTGGGCCAGGACCCAGGGCAGAAGAGGGCCCCAGGGAGGGCCAGTGAGTGAGGGGAGAGGCCCCTGGAACCTCAAGAAAGGACAGTAGAGGAGGACCAGCACAAGTTAAAATCAAAATGTCTCTGAAACTCTATTCACACTTTTCCAAGTGTCACGCTAGCTGGGGAGGACACGGACTTCCAAGCATGTCCAGATAGCAAGCTAAAGACTGCCAGCTCCTCCGGCTTCCCACCCGGGAAAGACACGTTCTCTCAGCCGGCCGCCTCCCGGAGGCCTGGCTGGAATCAGAGCGGTGGCTCCAAGTCTGCTGAGCCGAGCGGACCCCGCACTCTGCAGCGCCAGGTGGGTCCCAGGTGCTGCTGACCCTGCTGTGGGGACCCCATGTGGACAGCCCGGGGGTGAACCTGGGGCTATAGAAGGCGCCCGTGAGCACCTCCTGGAAAGCCGCGCCCGTCCTCCTGGAGCCTGGCGTCAGTCCTGTTCGGACACAGCGTGTGATTGACAAGATGCTTAAGAGCCCTCGCGACGCTGACTTTGGCTTCACAGCCCTCGGGCGTCACACGCGAATTTATGAGCAAGAGGCTCAGGACACACCTTCACCAGCCGGGATGAGGCTCAGGGGCCAGCGGGTGCCCGGCACGTCCGCGGGGACACTTGTCCTGGCCAGCCTGCTGCTGTCCTCACACATGGCCACGCTTTCAGTCCCCCCGTGAGTGACATGAATCACTGTTTTCACCACTTACATGGATGAGGAGACCCAGATGCCGAGAAATGTAGCAACTTCCCGAAGTCACACAGCTGGTCAGTGAGGATACGGGACTCCAACCCAGCAGCCCGGCCCGGGAGCCAGTCCTCACACAGCCAGCTGCCTGGTGCCACGTTCACCCTGCCCCTGAAAAACTACATGGCCGTTCTCACATGTGAACACTGTCAAAATGGAAATGAAGGATGACAGACCTCATTTTACTGGGGAAGAGGCTTAATATTATTCCTATTGTTGATGTTCATGAGTAATTTTATTTTTTTAAAGATTTATTTATTTATGCATATAAGAAGGGGTGTAGGCCAGAGGTGTGGGAGGGTGAAAGGATTCACCAGAGACAGAGTGGGGAGCAGAACAGACAGATCCACTGAAATCCACTGCTGAGGGGAGCAGCGGGCGAGACAGGAGGGGTCTGCTGTGCCATGTGGGTTGCTCCCTGGCCAGGGATCGAACTCAGGCTGCAGAGGCTGGCAATAGCTTGATGGCAATAGCACTGAGACTTTAACCCCTGTGCCTCCTGAGAGGCCCCTCATGAATAATTTTAAATAATCTAGAAGTCACCCATTAACAGTAGCTGATGGCAGCACCGGTAAGCTGGTGCAAGAACGAAGAGAAAATTACAAAGACGTGGCTGTTCTGTCCTGACGCGGGGTGGCGCGTGGCGTGTTTTAAAAATGGCAGTTTTACCTGCTAGTCACCATGTTCTACCCAGTCCTGAGACATCAAGTTCAAGCAGAGTGAATACTTATGAGTCTTCTTGTGGTGAAATGGGGGGAGGGGGGAAAAGAAAGAGAGAGAAAGAAATGAAGAAAGAAAGAGTAACTGTGACTTTCTGTCTGTGCAACCCTGGATGAGATGGGAACTAAGTTGTTCTCACCCTCAGGAAATTGCTCCGAGGGGGCCACACCAGCCCGGCCAGCTCCACACTTTGTTCCCATCAATTATTCACTATAATGGTGAGTGTGACACTTGCAGGCTCTTCAACGACAAATGACACCATACTGAGAAGTCTCCACTCCCGGGCTGGCGCAGCGTGGCCACGGTCTGTGCCAGAGCCACCGCGCCTGCAGGGGCGACGCGTACCCTGCCTGCAGCCAGGCTCACGCCAAACCTGAGCTGACACCTGCTCTGTTAGCAGCAGGCTCCTGCTTCCTAACTGCCACATTTTTGAAGTTTGACTAGAAGGGGAAGAACTGGGAAAATGGTGAAAACCTTGGAGGCTCCTGATGTCATTCATGCTGGTGCACCACCCCCACTCCAGGCAGGAGAGTCTGCTGAGAGTCCCCTAAAATAAGGAGCAGGTGGGGGCTCCTAGGAACCCTGAACCCCTATTGTCTTCACAGGAGCCAAGAATAGCAGCAAGATGGAAACGTTAATAATGGACAATGACTTTGTTCCAAATATGCAAGATTTTAAATCTAAAGTCATAGCCATGTGAGAAAGTTCTTTACACACTCAAGGTATTGACCAGCTAAGACTCACTGGGACAAGTCTTTGCATCCACAGTGTTCTGTAGAGCAGTGAGGAGAGAAGGGTCCCTCACTTTCAGCTGAAGGACCTTCACCCTGAAAAAGTTGGTCTTGGCTCTAATGGAACCAAAATTAAATCAAAATAAAACTTTTGATTATTCATCCAGCCCCTCGGTGTTCCTCTCTTGCTTCTGAATAATACAAGTCATGAGCATGTTTTAGAAGCTGAAGAAACTGAAGGAAGCCCAGAATGCAAAAATGTCAAATCTACTGTTCTCCCTTTTTCTCAAAGAACATTCATTCTGAATGCATTCTCTCTAGATGCTAAAGGATGCTTCACCACAGTCCTGATTTAAGAAGAACCTCTTTCATGGAATTCACAATAGTTTTGAGACCCTAGGATTGTTTGAGCTACATAATTGCAGAGTAAAGATGTCAGAGTAATAAACATCTATTGCAGATGTATGTAGTAATAGTAATGACATCTATTGCAGAGTAATAGATGTCATTTGAGGAAATTCGTGATTCTGTCAATCAGGGGGAAAAAAGCTATCATATTTTAAATCATTTAAAATCTAGCACAGATTTCTACATTTCTCAATAAATCTGAATGAGTGCTAAATATATCTGTGAATTAGCATTCTTCTTATCCACACAGATCTTTCAGAAATTTCAAGTTTTGATCTTCGTAGAGAGACCAAAGAGGCTCTTCTCAGAGAAGCAAAATTTGCCTCTATCTACATGTTAACAATTACAATATTTATGGAGAGAGGAAAAGCAAAAGTTGACAACATACCGGTGGAGGTTTACCAGGCAGGACTTGCTCTTTCTCCAAAGATTCTGCTTGTCTGGTCCCCTTGCAGAAGGAAGAAGAAGGCTTTTATAACAGCTTTCTCAGCCCCGCCTTCTCCAAGCTTCTTTTAAGAGGAGGAACAAAAGAAAAAAAATAATAAAATCTTAAGCCACTGAAAGAAAACTCCTAAAGCCAAGGCAGACAGCAGCAATTCAGCAATTGCATATAAGTGAGGAATGCATAATTATAGAACAAAGTATTTTCAAAGCTCATAAACTAAGAATACGAAGTTCCCACTCTTGGCTCGCCAATATTATCACAGCATTAAATCATACAAAGGCTTAATTTCTACAATTT